TGGGTTTCTATTGAAGTTTTGTCTTTATCAAAGTTATATATACTTCTTATAAAATACTAAACCATACAGAAAAGTATAAAGATGGAGAAATCTAAAATCTCACCAATCATAGGTACTATTGATTTGAGATTTTATAATGCATTTTTTATATAATTGGAATCACAGTATATAATTTTGAACCTTGAATTTTCATCAGGCAGTATAGTGTAACCACTTCTTTATAGAATTGGCAACATGTACTACTTGATACCATCTTCCCAGATGGTGCTAGTGGTACAGAATCTGCCTGCCAGTGAAAGAGACACAAGATACATGGGTTTGATTCCTGAGTCGGGAAGGAACCCTGGAGTAGGAAATGGCAACCTGTTCCAGTTTTCTTGCCTGGGAAATTCCACAGACAGAAGAGCCAGGTGGGCTGTATTGTCCATGGGGTGCAAAGAGTTGGACATGGCAGAGCTGTGCACATGTGTGCACATGCACACACATACACACACACACAACTTGGTATATATGTAGGCATAATATATCACAATTAAAGGGATTATTATGAATATTTAGGTGCTTTTTTCCTTCTGTAAATACCATTGAGGTGAACATTCCTGTACCATAGCCAGTTAAGATGTTGCCTGATTTCTCCACTAACGACTCCTCCCTGCCCAACACTAAAGATATATAGTCAGATGTTGGTATTTATGAGTTACTCAGATTAGTTTTTGTTCATCTGTCCATTTGTCCTTTCTTCCTATCTCCCCCTTCAGTATGGTTACAGTATTTTTCTTTTTTAATACAGTTAGGTTCATTTTTTTCAAGTTACTTTCAGTTTTAGGTGTTTTCCTCTTCACATTCCTTCTTATTTTACTTTTTACACATGTAGAATATTAACATGCTTTTCAAAAACCAAAACTTTTCAAAGCCAGCTTGTCTTGTGTACTCCATCTGCTGTCTTCTAGTCAAGGATTTTGTTATATCAGGTGTCTGCCCATCAGTAGTTTTCTTTTTTCTGCATCATTGTTGTCCACATACAGGCCTGCTGAATTTTCTCCCACCTAAAAAAGCAAAACTGATTTCTCTCCTACCTCACTGGCCCTTCCTTCTTAGGGTTCCTTGGCCTCTTAGTGGTCTTTGACCACAGTCTTTGAGCCATTTCATTTTTTTGGTCTCTATCTTGTAAACGTACATATATAACATTGGAGATTATTAAATTTGTAGCTACTGAATAAGATTTCAATATCTAACCTAATTGGTATCTTCTCTTGGATATCTGATAAGCATCTCTTAATTAAACTACTCTAAGCCTAAATTCTGATCCTTTATCCCAAACTTACTTCTCCCTCTCTAACCCAGTAATTGGTGACTCTATCCTTCTGTTTGCTCAGACCCAAAAACCTTGGAGCCATCCTTGCCTTCAGTCTGTATTATCAAATCCTGTTGTTTTAACTTCAAAGTATGTCCTGAATTGTTTCCTTCTTACCACTTCCTACTCTTCCAACTTGATCCAAGGCAACATCTTCTGTTACCTGTATTATTGTAATAGTTTCCTGTCTGGGCTCACTGTTTCTGTCCATGTACCTCTTTCATCTCTTCTCAATAGAGTGATCCTTTAAAAAATTGTTCTCTTATCCTATTCTAGTCAAAACCATCTCCAGTCATTCTCATTTGTACCCAGAGTAAAATCCAAAGTCCTTAGAGTGGCTTAAAAGGCCCCAGATGATCTGGCCCCGGTTATTTCTCTGACTTCATCTCTTTTCGTTTTTGCCCTTGTTCATCTCCTACAGCTACAGTGGCCTTTTTGCTCTTTCTCAGACCTGGGTGTTCTTTCCTCAAGTTTTTTTCCTTAGCTTTAAATCTGCCTAGAGTATTCTTCCTCTAGATATTTGCATAGCTAGCTCCTTGGTTTTCTTCAGATCTTTGCCCATATGTTACCTTTTTAATGAGGCGTTTCCTGTCCACTCTTAAAAATGAAAGGATCCTTTGCTTGCACCTCCTATGTTATTTTTGCTTTGTTTTTTCCTCCATAGTTATCAGACTCTGACTTGTTATATATTTAACTTTGTAGATATTGGTTAAAATTTATTGAATGAATGAATGTGTAATCAGCCCTCTCTTTGTCCTTCAGGAGTTATCCATTCTTCTTGCTACATTCCAGATGCTGATCTCTCTTCTATTCTACTTTATACTCTCTCCTGCCTCAGAACCTTTGTATGTTTTATTCCCTCTACTTGGAAAACTCTTTCCTGCCCCCTTCTTTTTCTAGCCTAGTTAACTTCTACTGCTCATCCTTTAGATATCAGCTCAGAAGTCCCTATTTCAAAGAACCTCTGGATTAAGACCCCTGCTGTATTCACTCTTAGTCGTGCTCTTTGATCTCTCTCACCAACTAAACTGAGCACTTCACAAAGGCCAGAACCTTGAGTATGCTGCCTGCCAGTGTATGTGTCTGAATAGTGAATCCTCAGTAAGTGTTGAGTTGCCCAAAAAGTTCATTCAGATTTTTTCGTTTGGCCAACCCAGTACTTACTGAATTAGCTCCCTTCAAGCACTGATACTCTGCCTTGAGGCAATGATAGGTCATTCCTATGTGCTTAGAAATGGCAGCCTATCAGGAAACTTTGTATTTTCAAATCAAACATGATTGGTGGTAAGTTTGAAATGACTTGGCATTATTGATCAACTCTGAGTTAAATATGAACTTTATATTGACTAAATCAATGCGTTGACATCTTGTGAGAAGATACGAATCCAGATAAGATCTGACTCAAGAAATTCTGGTTTAGAGTCAATGCAGAAGAATGTGCATATTGATTCTTATTGGTGTGTAGGGCATGTAAATAACCTAGTTCATTTTGTTACTTTAATATTTAATATCAAAAAAGGTAGAAGACTGGCTAATAACTTTTTTGTTAGCTAGTAGTTAACTTTGTCAATAGTTTCACTTTTGAAAAAGTAAAGCTGGGTAAAGTTAGCAATTTTTTAATCTTTCAGGGTTGTGTTAAGAATTAATACATATGAAAGTACTTTAAAGTGCATGTGTAATTTATTGTTATTACTATTATCATCTCTATTGGTTGTGACATTGGGCAAACAAGTTGGTTTCTCATTATATTTACTCTTGTAAAAAGTGGGAATAAAAGTAGTATTGACTCTAATGGGTTATCATGAGAATCAGTAATGCATGCACTCAAAGAGAAGAGTCTGCTACTGGTAAACCCTTGGAAAATGTTTGCTGTTTTTCTGTTATTATTTTTAGTCTCTTCTTTTAAGTTTAAGAACTTTCCTTTTAAAATCATTATAGAGAATCTGCATTGTTTAATTAAAATTCAGAGTCAAATCTTTAATGTGACTTTTGGCACTTTCATTAAATACTTGGCATGATGAATGGCGGCAGTGTTGGCATCTGCTGCTGCTTCTACTTCTGAAGAGTTATATCTCATTTCCTTTGTGATGGAATTCCAGCTGAGCTATTTCAAATCCTAAAAGATGATGCTGTTAAAAGTGCTGTACTCAATATGCCAGCAAATTTGGAAAACTCAGCAGTGGCCACATGACTGGAAAAGATCAGTTTTCTACTTCTGCTCCACTGACTACGCTAAAGCCTTTGACCGTGTGGATTACAGCAAACTGTGGAAAATTCTTAAAGAGATGGTAACACCAGACCACCTTACATGTCCCTGAGAAGCCTATATGCAGAACAGGAAGCAATAGTTAGAATCAGACATGGAACAACGGACTGGTTCAAACTTGGGAAAGGAGTAGGTCAAGGCTGTATATTGTCACCGTGCTTATTTAACTTATACGGAGTATATCATGCAAAATGCTGGACTAGATGACTCACAAGCTAGAATCAAGATTGCCGGACAGCAAGGAGTTTAAACCAATCAGTCCTAAAGGAAAGCAACCCTGAATATTCATTGGAAAGACTGATTCTGAAGCTGAAGTTCTGATAATTTGGCCACCTGATGCGAAGGGCTGAATTATTTGAAAAGACCCTGATGCTGGGAAAGACTGAGGGCAAGAGGAGAAGCGGGTGACAGAGCATGAGTTGGTTGGATGGCATCACCGACTCGATGGACATGAGTTTGAGCAAACTCTGGAAGATAGTGAAGGACAGGGAAGCCTGGTGTGCTGCAGTCCATGGGGTTGCAAAGAGTTGGACTTAGTGACTGAACAACAACAGTGTTTCCTTACCTCACTTGTGGATTGGTTAGTAAAATAAGAATATTCACTTCTGTGATGTTATCTATAGCAAAGTAAAATGTAGTAGAGGCTGGCTCAAATCCTTGCATAATACATGAAAAATAGTAGATACTAAGTAGTCATAAGTTTGAAAGATATTAAGAACTAGAGCTTGAATGTATCTGATTCTAAAATATTTAAATGTATGGTGGTGGTTTAGTCACTAAGTCCTGCCCTTGTGACCCCAGTGACCTCAGTGACCCCGGAGACTGTGGCCTGTCAGGCTGCTTTGTCCATGGGATTTCCCAGGCAAGAATACTGGAGTGGCCTGCCATTTCCTTCTCCTGGGAATCTTCCCAGTGCATTGATTGAACCCAGGTCTCCAGCACTGCAGGCAGATTCTTTATTGCTGACCCACCAGGGAAGCCCATGTTGTTATTACATTCTTTTTTCTTACTATTTACTTATTTTGGTCTGTGCTGGGTCTTGGTTATTGTTCACAGGCTTTCTTTAGTTGCGGCGAGCAGGATCTGCTCTTCACTGTGGTGTGCCGGCTTCTCTTGCCGCAGAGCGCAGGTCTGGGTATGCAGGCTTCAGTGGGTGCGCCGCGCGGGCTCTGGAGTGAGGGCCGAGTGGTTGTGGCGCACAGGCTTGGTGCCCTGCATCAGTGATTGAACCTGCACCCTCTTCATTGGCAGACAGATTCTTAATCACTGGACACCAGCGAAATCCACTATTACATTCTTAATGCTCTGTATATTTGCAAGAATGACTCAGCGGTACAGTAACTAACACTAAAATAAATGTCAATATGTATTCTCTTTCAGATTTACCAAAAATTTATCTCCTGACAAGATAAATCTTAGTACCCTTAAAGGAGAAGGTGAACTGAAGAATTTGGAGTTGGATGAAGAGGTGCTCCAGAACATGTTGGATTTGCCAACATGGCTTGCTATCAACAAAGTTTTTTGTAATAAAGCGTCAATTAGGGTGAGTCTTTGATATCTGTGGAAGGCATTTTCTGTTTTCATTTTATTTATTTCATCCCTATCGTTTAAAGTACATATTTTCTTTTCTGCATTATTTATTAATTTATTAATGTTGTTGAAAATTTAATATTTATATTTAAGCAATATTTATAGTTTATTAAAATAATTGTTAAGATTTGGTACATATTTAAAGTTTTCTTCGTAGGACTTGTTGTCAAATGGGACAGCTTAAATTTGTAGTAAGTAGAGTCTACTTCAAATGAAGGCATAAGGACTGATAAGTTATCTTATTCTGGACATTATACTTTTGTTTGAAATTTTGTCTCTTTTCCCCATTTGTTTCTTATTTTGAGAATTTTAAAGTTTTTTTTTTAATATTATTCCTGCTTATTAAAACTTTAAGTTTTTTTATTATCTTTGATTCTAACCATATTATTTTGCTTCTTTGTCTTAAAGATTAGGCTTAGTTTGAGCGCCTATTCAGTAGAAATACTGCATGCTAAAATTAAAATTAAAATTGGGCTACACAGAAAAGATTGTGGAAAGTTTGCTCATAACCATCCTTTGATGGTCACCTTTAATTTTTATTTAATTTTTATTCTATCTTCCATAAACCCAAATGTCTTCAAAAAATATTATCCTTAGTATAGAATTTATTTGAACATTATTTATTTGATATTACTTCCATTTAACATTAATGGTCTTACTTTTATGTTTGTCTTGAATATCTACAAGGAAATTGGCTGGAATTCTAGAATTTAAAAGATTATTAAATGAGCAAAACACTGATTATGCTTTGCTGGGAATTCTTAAACTATAAAATCAAAATGTATCTTCAGAACTGGAGAAAAAACCGTATTATTTTTTAGATAATATTAATGTTAGTAGAACCTGAAATTTTTATTTAAAAAGATGACCAAGAAAATAAGAATAATAATCTTTTTTAAAATAAAATATAGGTGCAGCTGATTTCAAGAGTATAAATGAATTGTTCAGTATAAGTCATCTGATATAATTTGGTATGTCTATCGCTGTGTTAAGGGGTCATCTGTGTTGATTACTGTCTTAAATTATTTTTTTGATGATTCATTTTAAAGAAAAATTTTCTTTTATAGATACCATGGACAAAATTGAAAACTCATCCCATCTGTTTGGTAAGTTCTGAATTGTCTCAGAAATAATTGTTTATATTTGTGTATAACTACTCTGTTAATATTTTGTTTCTTAGAAACATAATCTTATGGCTTTGTTAGCTTTCATTCTGTTTTGATAGTATTTAGTTTTCTCAGTCTTTAAATGGGAAATTTGAACTTTAAAATGAGAGGGTCTTTAAAGTTCTTCAGGTCTAGAATATTATATTTTAAGTTAGTATATTTTATTGTATCTTTTAACTCTTTATTGACATACTGTGGGCTTCTTTTAATAAAATTTGACCCAGATTTTCTATGTTTCTGCTTTTACTGATCTAATATATAATATGTTCTTTAATGTACTTTACTTTTTAAGGAAAATTGATTATTTGGTCATTTGCTGATTCATTCATTCCGCTAATACTTATTGAATGCTTCCCCTCTGCCCTGAGGGAGCATATATCTTTATAAGGAGACTGACAGTGAACAAGTAAACAACACAAGGCAGTTTCAGACAAATTCAGTATTAAATAGAGAATGAAGAGATGACTGGAGATGTGCTAGTGATGACTACTAAGGACATTCGATCTTTCTTCAAGAAAAACTTAGCCTGAGGAATTTTTTCATTATGAGAGTGTTTATTTTTTCATATTTTTTATAGTTACATGTTTTAAATCTCAGGTTTTAGATTGGGAGGAGCTTTCAGAAGTTGTTTAGTCCTATTTACAAATAAGTAATCCATCAATTAGTAATGTACATTCTGAGGTTAGCAACTATGCTTCTGTGAAACCTGATGGTCTCAGCAGTGTATGGCTGCTACTTGCAGTTTTTTTCTCCTGTACTCTTGTAATAAGCTTTTCCAGCAGAAAATAAGTGCCTTGAGAAAGGACTGAGCATTTTCTCAGTCTTTAGACCTTTAGAGAGACATTTAAAATGACTCTGCTTTATTTTCTTTGCTCCTAAAGAAATGAATGAGAAAGTAGTCTTAGATAATATCCTTATACTATACATAAAATATCTAATGTTTAATGTGTTTTTATTAGTCCTTGGATAAAGTAATAATGGAAATGAGTACATGTGAAGAACCACGAAACCCAAATGGCCCATCACCAATTGCAACTGCTTCAGGACAAAGGTAAGCTATCCATTAATATGTATGATTGGCAAAGGAAATTTTTTTTCTATAGTCAGCTCTGTTATTTGCAGTAATAGGACATAAAATAAAATTTCCCAGCCTCAACTCTATTTCAGTCACTTCTCCCATCAAACATTTTATAGTTTTAGTAAACATTTTGCAAAAGTAGCAGAATTGATTTTTAGCCTCTTTTATTCATCTTGCTTTCCTTGATATTAAATAATAATGATCAGTCAAAGGCAGAACAGCAGCAGAAAATGGAAGAAGAAGAGCTTAGGCATTCTATAAATCAGATAGTCTCTTATTTGGTCTCTGAACACTTTCTCTGCATAACATTTGTTCTCTGCATCAGTGGACCTTTTATGTCTCTTAAGAGTTAAGTTGATGCCTTAAAAAAGTATGGACCTTTTAGGTTACTCTAAAATTCATTAAATATAGAACACTCACAGTTTTTACAGATTGAATTTTGGTATATAAAAACCAGATGCTAATAACGTAGAAGCCTATGAAGGCGAGCATTTTACAAAGTAAAGGAGAGCAGTTCACAAAGCCATCTTGAGAAGTTAGAGTGGTTCTTAAAAAATAGATATTTAAAAATTTGCCTATTTATCTTTGCATTCAGTAAATTTGGATCTTGTTTTATGTATACAGTTTCTTCAAAACAGATTTTCTGCACTATTTTTGGGTGGTACAGGCATTCATGTAAAAAGTTTACATAGATTTTAATGTGACTAGTGCCTCCTCAGGTTGTGCAGCGTGGCAGCCCTGGACATTTACAGTGTTATAGGTGCTGTGTAGAACCAGGGATTAACTCTTCTTGAGACTGAACGTGCACATACAGGTACACACACATACTCTCTCTCACATTTTCCTCCTCTTTTACCAAGGTTGAACCATCTTTATATTAATGCATTCTGTGAGAATACCTACAGTCTGATCAGTGACTTTTCACGTGGGAATAGAATGGTGATCCATCCACTGCTGAGAGTTGATTGAGAGCCAGATTTATCAGATATACAGTTTATATTTGGATTATAGGTAATAGTGATGGGGAAAAGAGCTTTCACATTAACATTTTTATAGTTCATGTATTTTCCAGCAATTTGAGATTTTAAAGTTTAGATTATGATTTCAGGTTAGATAAAGCAGGTTGGAGCAGTTGATCTTAAAATTGGCTAGTCAGAAATATTGGAGAAAAAGGTGAAAGTGAAAATCACTCAGTTGTTTCCGACTCTTTGCAACCCCATGGACTATACAGTCCATGGAAAACTCCAGGCCCGAATACTAGAGTGGGTAGCCATTCCCTTCTCCAGGGGATCTTCCCAACCCAGGGATCGAACCCAGGTCTCCCACATTGCAGGCGGATTGCTTACCAGCTAAGCCCAGGTAGGAGCAGTTGATCTTAAAATTGGCTAGTCAGAAATACTGAAGAAAAAACTGAGATGTTTATAAGACTATTAAAAGGGCAAAAGTAGTTCAGGAAAGTTGTTATAAACAAATGATTTATTTTAATTAGGTGTGGCATAAATTAGGTATTATTGTATGCTAAGTAGTTGACAGTATTTTTCCTGATTCATGTTTTTATAGTACCAACAAGCTTTATCATTTTGGCTTTGGGTGTTAATAAATATGTTTTCCACACTTGCCGAATTGTAAGTCATTTAGGGTGCTTATAAAAATATACAGGGTTTTTTGGGCTCCTTTTTTGAAATTAATGATTCATTAGGTCTAGAATGGTTGTCAAGAATATGAATATATATCTTTAGTTCTTTACAGTCATGCAGTTTAGGGAGAAACTGATCCATTTGATTTTGTTTTTAGCTAAGAGGTTAAAATAGAGGGAAATTAACAATTAATAGGCTGGCCCTTCCTTCTGTGTAGGACCTATAAATCATCAGTGCTCCCGTAGACTGGTAGTTTAGTAAACTTTGTAAGTTCAGGAATTTGATTTTTCACTTCACGTGGAGATAGATGTCTATGTGGAGATTAACCAAACTCAGAAGAGATTTTTGTAAAGTGAAATTTAGTTTATAATGGACGATATAATCAGTACACTTTAGTCACTGATTCTGCCTTTACCCTTCTGACGGTAAATCCTCCGACACAATTGTAAAACTTTCTAACGTGCATAGATTAGAGTAGATGGCTTTGAATATTCCAAAGGGTATTCTCAGATAATTATTATAAAAATATTCTTCCAACTCCAGAAATGTTTCTAAGTGACCAATATTTGTTCTTAGGGTCATAATAACTCCTCCAAAATAACATGTTGCTTAAAGACCACACCAACATTTTGAAATAACTATTATTTTCATTTTACAAGTAAGGAAACTAAGGCTCATAGACTTGCAATAGTATTAATAAAACCATAATACTACTATTTATAATACTACAAATAATACTTAACACCTTTTAAAGTATCATGAGTCCAGGGATGGTCTTCTTGCTTTATATGCCTTATTTCCTACAGTCCAAATGTAAGCTACAAAGAATATCCTGATTTAAAAGATAAGTCATCTGAATTTTAGGAAAGATAAGTAATTTTATTTATTCATTAGGATAGTAAATCAAGAAGCATAGCAGGTATAGAGGAGCAATGTGCGTGATCAGTAAAAATGATGGCCTCACTTTATGGACGTTGGCTTTGAGATATGTGAGAAGCAGACAAGTAGAGCTATCTGATGGATATTTGAATTTTACAGTCTGAAGTTTCAGCAAGAAATCTGATACAGATTTTGGAATAATGGTCATGATTGAAGTAAGGTGCCAATTTTGCAAAAGCTTTCACCACCCCCCTGCCAAAATGTATTGATAATTTAGTTTGTATTTAAGTCTTGCTGTACTTATCATTTTAAAAAACTTTTTATTTTGTATTGGAGCACAGCCGATTAACAATGTTACGGTAGTTTCAAGTGGATAGCAGAGGGACTCAGCCATACATATATACTAAATATATATACATGTATACTTATTCTTGAAGCATGACCTTTATTGTTTCTCTGTGTCTGCTCATGCTTTTCCCTCTTTTAAGATTTTCCTTCCTTCTTATCTCTCCTTGAAGAAAGTTCATCTTTCTATTTTGGATATATTTCTCATTAATTCTAAACAGTTTCTTCCTCTACCAAGTGTACCAACGATTCCTTTTAAAAAAGCACCTAAAAACAGACTGCCTCATGTTTCAGTTACTAGGATATGTGTTTTTTTTCCTCCCCCAGTAACTTTCAAGCCCTGCAAAGCCACAGCTGTCTTGGTTCCCTTAGGTCCTAGCGTCGGTCACATGGTAGATGCTCCACGAGTGTCTCCTGGACTGGGCCCTGCGATGTGGACTTCTCTGGCCTTGCATCCCAGCTGGCCTCTGCGGCCCCCTTTGTGCCAGGAGTTTAGCCGTCTGCTTACTTTATTGATGCCAGTTCTCTGCACTCACGCTTTTTAAAGCAAGCAACTTTGGATGGCAATAAAATAATTTAGGCCAATTTTAAAAACCTTGAGCATTTTGAAAAAATAAAATAAATAAAAACCTTTAGCATTTTGAAATAGCTTTTTTTGGGTAACTTACATGTAACCAGACTAGATTGTTTTAAGATTCATTTTGTTAAACAAAAATGAGTAATATGGCAATTTGTGTTAGAATATTAACAGAAAACTTCTTCACTTTTGATGATTTATTTTTGGCTTTAATGCATTATATTTTGCTTTGTTTTCTCAGTGAATACAGCTTTGCTGAAAAAGTAGTTGAAGGAATTACTGTTTCTGTAAATTCTATTGTCATTCGCATTGGAGCAAAAGCCTTTAATGCCTCCTTTGAACTTTCCCAGCTAAGAATCTATAGTGTAAATGCAAACTGGGAACATGGAGATTTACGATTTACTCGTATTCAGGATCCACAGAGAGGAGAGGTAAAGATTCTGTTTTTCTTTCTTTGTTTAAAAATGTTTTAGCATTGATTAATATTAAAGTATATTTAAAATAATTACTTTTTGTTGCCTATATTCACATACTACTAGATTTACTTTTTCCCATAAACTGTACTTTACTCTGTATTATTTTTGTTTAACTATAAAATGTACATTTTTAATGTTTTTTCTGTTATCTTTCAACTTAGAGAGTTAATGAGTCCTATTTTAACTTCTAAGCTACTCAGAATTGAATTTTAAATTTACAAAATTAAAATATGTTTCGTTAAATTCTTCATGGTTACATAATTCAAATGTTCTTTGTGTTTTATATTGAAATTAAATTACTTGGAATAAAAGTGTCAACAGCTTTACAGATGATGACTGTAATAATGGAGATGTGTTACTGAATTTGAAAGTGTGTAATTAAAAGTGAAAGCGTAGTGAATAGATCTGGAGGATTATGTGACAATCTGTGAAGAGATGCGTTTCCTTTTTTGGCTGCACTTGGTCTTGGCTGCAGCGTGAGTGCTCTTCTCTACCTGTGACACGCAGGGTCTTCCCTCGTTGCGGCCCCCAGGCTTCTCTGGTTGGTGCAGGGGCTCAGTTACTCTGCAACATGTGTTGCTTCATGGCATATGGGATCCTAGTTCCCCGACCAGGGATCGAACCCATGTGCCCTGAATTAGAAGGTGGATTCTTACAGTTGGACCACCAGGGAAATCCCACAAGATACATTTTTGTAACTTTTTTTTTGTTTTTATAAATCTGCATTTTTCTTATTCCGTTTTGTGTTTGTGAACCTAATCTCTTGTTCTCCCTTTAGGTGTTGACCTTTAAGGAAATAAATTGGCAGATGATCCGAATAGAGGCAGATGCCACCCAGAGCGCACATCTGGAAATTATGTGCGCCCCTGTCCGCTTAATAACCAACCAGTCAAAGATCAGAGTCACGCTCAAAAGAAGAGTAAGTCAGCAGTTACCTTTTGATTCATGTGGCAACTATTGGAATTGATGAGAAATTTTAAATTATTTATAGGTGAAATATTGGCATATTAAAACAGAGCAAAATAAAAGGAAATATAGGTGCCTCAAGCAATATTTGAAGAAATCTGGTGTGATGATACCATTAGGTTTAATATTAGTATTTTTATTTTTGATGAATTGAATAGATTTCTCAGTTATGAAATAGTAGCTATTTTATAATTTTATGTCTCCTGTTGAATATTCCTCAGGAGTGGGTAAACAGTAAAGTCTTCACTATTAGTAACCAAAACTACTAGTTTTAGAAGGCTATTAAGATACGACTGTATATTTAGATAAATATGGAAGGTAGCTGCTTAAGGATGTCAGCATCTGAAATCCATCATAGACTTTGATGAAATTTAATGTGGGAAAGTAATCACTTTTTTAAAAACATGGCTCAATTAAAAGAATTTTTCAGAGTATGACACTTAATACAAATATTGTGAAATGTGATTAAAAAAGCATTTTAGTTTTTAATTAATTTTAATGCCTCCTTTTCTACTAGAATTACAGCTGACCCTTGAACCGCACAGTTTTGAGCTGTATGGGTCCACTTATATGTGGATCTTTTTCAGTAGTGTGTACTGTAGTACTGCTTGGTCCAGGTTGGTTGGACCCAAGGATGCAGAGAAACCCTGGATATGGAGGAACCTTGGATACAGAGGGCCAACTATAAGTTATATGCATTAACCGCGGCATTATTCAAGGGTCACTTAGGGTTGCATTAACATTGATAATTATATGATTTAAGCTATAAATACAGAATTAAATTATACAAATGCTTATACCTATGTAACATGTACCTGTTAAGATGAAGGAACCTGTCAGTCTTTTTTTTTACCACTGTATCTCCAATACTAGGAGATATTTCTTCCATATTACAGGAACTCAACAAATATTTAGTGATAAAGGAAGCGTTTATTTAAATCATTGAAAGAATTTTAACTTTTAAAAAGTACAAGTGCATTATAAGTTTTATTACTTGGCTTAATTTTATGAATCATTTTTCCCTGACAGTTAAAGGACTGCAATGTCATTGCAACAAAGTTAGTTCTAATATTGGATGACTTACTATGGGTTTTAACGGATTCCCAGTTGAAGGCTATGGTACAGTATGCGAAGTCTCTTAGTGAAGCAATAGAAAAATCAACAGAGCAAAGGAAGAGTATGGCTCCTGAACCTGCACAGGTATGCTATTACCTGCTAATAGGAAAAGCACTTCACTTTACATGTAAGTGGTTTAAAAATCAGAATGGTTAGTTGTTTTCTCTATGTGAAATAGATTATAATACTTTGAGCCCAAGAATTTTCTTATATATCGAATATATTTCTGTCTATATAGTACATATCTTATTTGCAAGTCTGTGCTTGGCACTAGACTTAATGATAACATAAAAGTATTCTGATGTTACAAATATGTCTTTTCAGGAAATTTATAAAAATACAAGTTAAAGATTACTAAAGTCCAAAAGGAAAAAACCTGGGTGATTATAGTCAAGGGAGAGAATGTAAGCCCTAGGGAATTGCTGAAGGTAAACACAAAGCTGTTAGAATTGTCTGATGGCTGGGACAAAAATGAGGGAAGCTATATAATGATCACTTTCTTAAAATCAGAAGCACTAGTAGTTTTTTTTCCTAAAAAGAAAAAGTTTTCTAACCTTTCCTAGCATTAAATACTGAGAATTTAACATGAAGATTTTTGTAGAAGGGAAATTGGAAATCTCAGCGTGTAGTGTCTTTTGATAATTTTATGAGTACGATTGACTTTTTATATCTATCCAATAAAAACTTAATGGATATTGTGAAATCATAATTCTTGAATTATTTCGTTGGAAATACAGTGAGTCCTGTCCTTCGTTGGTAATCTGACTGATACGTGGGAACTTAGGCTTTACTGTGACTGTCACGTCGGCATTGTTTACTGCCTCCTGCTTTGTCATCAGGTGCAGGGCTAGATGCTGCTGATGTAGAAATAAATATTGTCTGAACCTGCCCTCAAGGATCTCAGAATGTAATGGGGAATCAGATGTAAAACAGATCATTGCAGTCCAGCATAAATGCCAGAGTGCAGAATTAAAAATGGGGATGAGGGGCTTCCCTGGTGGTACAGTGGATAAGAATTTGCCTGCCAGTGCAGTCGATGTGGGTTTGATCCCTGGTCCAGGAGGAAACGGCAGCTCACTCTAGTATTCTTGCCTGGTAAATCTCATGGATGGAGGAGCCTGGCGGACTTCAGTCTGTAGAGTCGGACCCAGCTGAGCAACTGAACAACAACAGGAACAACTGGGAAGATTCCACATGCAGTGGGGCAGCTGAGCCTGTGCTCGGGAGCCTGTGAGCCGCAACCGCCGCAGCACTCGTGCCTGGAGCCTTGCTCCGCCACAGGAGAAGCCCTGTACGAGAGGCCCGTACGCCGCAGCAGTGCCTAGCCCCCTGCTCACCGCAGCCAGGGAAAGCCCGCACACAGCAGCGAAGACTCAGAGCCGCCACTGAAAGGAGGGATGAGGAGATTACAGAAGGATAGAGAAGTTTTAATCAGCTGCTGTGGATGGACTTTGGAAAGGTTTCACAAAGAGGATAATGAAGTTAAGTCTGAAAAATGAGTAGGAGTTCACAGGTGAGAGAAAGGGCGTTTCAGATGAGGAAAGAGTCTACAAAAGTATGATAGTGATAGAGAGCATGGTATTTTCTGATAAAGATGAGGGGCTTAGGGTTACTAGAGCATTATTTTTGAGAGTGACGGTACACATGCCTTGTGAATATGTGACAACTTTCCAAGTTTTAAGAAAATCGTTTCACTCTTCCATTTTGATGTATACTCTTTGTTGTGTTAAGATGTCAGTCTGGTTCTCCAGTTCCGTAGTTACTCCTATCCTAGTATCCTACTTTACAAATGAAAGGCATTCTTCTTACTCATCCTGGTTCTCACTGTGATAGATTTGTCAGGGGTGGATGGTGAGGTGGGCAGGAGGGTTTTGACCCAAAAATCTCTGGAAAATGACAGGCAATTTGAAATATTGCTGTCCATGTTGGATGTGAAGGACCAGTGACAAACTAACACATTAGGTGATTTCCACTTCTTTGCTTTCAACATGTTTGAAGGAAGATTTAATAAATGTCTGCTGCTAGACTATTAAAAATAATTTTTTTTACAGTAGATCACTTTGTGAATCCTGGCATGTAACTTGAAAGAGTTCATAGAATCATGTTGCTTTTGCTAAAACAAAATTGACTTCATTCCAGCCTACCTATTGATGTGAACAAAGTTTCCCAGAGCTTTAAGCTATAAAAACAGAATTGATGGTGAACCTGTAGAGAATTGATGGTGAATCCTGTATCATTCTACCAAATAATTAATATTTATCCAATCAGATGTCTTTGTATATAATTCTCTGTGGGGATCTAATGTTAAAAGTTTGATGAACAGAGTACTGGATCATAGCATAGAATAGGGTTTTCCTAGGGAAGTAGCCTGAGTTCAAGCAAAGTGGCCACTAGACATGATGGGCATTATATGTTTACTTTTCCCATGGGCATACAGAAGTCAATGGAAACAAAAGTTAAGTATGACATGGTGGTATTATAAGAGGGTAGATTGAAGAGTAGGAAGGCTGCCACTCTAGGGAAGGGGTAGACTTGTATCTCTAGCAATGGTTTGAAAGAAGAAAAAACAAGCCAAACTGGGGAAAGATTTGAGTGTTTTATCAGTTGAGGATAGAGAAGACAGAGAAGTTGAAAACTTCTTGAATAATTAGTAATTCCATTAACCAGAAGAATAAGTCCAGGGGGAAGCAGGTTTGATTAGGGGATGTAAGGCTAAGAAAAGGTAATAATGAGTTCCATTTTGGACTGGAAAAAAATAATTAAGAAAGTACAGGAGGTAATATTTTGCAGTATTACCATCATAAACACTAGCCTGTTAAAGCTTGCAATGACGATTCGTGTATTATAATTTAGGATGTCATTAACAGAGATGATAATTGAAAGATCAATAGACAAAGTGTTGATGTTACTATAGCTTATTTATGCAATATGTAGATAGATGTCTATATAAAATAGAATATAGATTAGGAAGCTATATAAAGATACAGGTTAGGAAATGAGAAACAAGGACAAAATTCTATAATGCTACTACCATAACAAAACCAGTGTTAGCATTTTGAGGTATTTCCTTACAGATTTTTTTTTGCCTAAGCATCTGCATTTTTTCATAGTTTAGAAAGGATGTAGTAGCAAATGGCTGTAGTTTTCTTCCATGCCATTAGTATTTAGTTAGTCTTTTTTGTCACTCCCTAATGTTTTATAGTAGTTACACTGAGCCACTCACATTACTGTGGGATGTCTTCCTTCAGTGGTAGCTGTCACATCGCTATTTTAGGTGTCATCTGAGGTACCAAGAGTGTGCATTGGAGAGTGAAGTAGTTGTGTTCCTTTGCTCACCTTACAACTTTCGAGCTTTACGAACTTGAAAATTAAGAATTTTTAAAAGATTATTCATGAGGCAAGAGTTTATAGTGGCCACTTTCCCCCCTACAAATAGCATCCAAAAGCCTGAATGTACCTCAGTATGAAGAAAAGAGTTTGTAGGGAGATTAATGCTTATGTTTTTATTTGTATCAGTATTTATCTTGTTGAAAGACAGGAAACATAATTAAAGCAATTCAGAAGAGTGTTTTCTTTCACAATAATACCATCATAGCCATAAGTAATAGTCTGTAAGGCTTTAAAAGTGGATGGGGGAAAACATAAGAAAAAGTGATTTTTCTAATGAAAATCAGTTTAATAATTAGTAAAAAAGCTTACTTGGACCTCTGGAATTTAAGGCTTCACAACTGTTACATCTTTGCTTTCCTTTAAATAATGTGGACCCCAGTCATTTTTATCAAGAGATTCTCATTTACTGAGTACACTTTGAAATTCTTTTTACAGTATGATTATAGTTCTTACTATGAAGAAGCTATATACTGTATATAAGCTATATATACAGTACTTTAATTTTCTGTAAATAACTATACTTTCGTTAACGAATTGTTCTTAGAAAGTTTAAAAATATTTTAAATAACAAGTCTGGTCTTCTTTTAATTGTTACCAAAGTTTCATGTATAGTTTTATGGTTAACAGATATACAGATCATCTCATAGTATACTTATGTATGTAGAGTTACTTTAAGCTATTGAAAGTTCACAGATGTCTTTATACTTCAACAATATACTATGTTTTCTCTGTTCGGGGAGAAAAGAATGTGAACTCACAAACTGTTATAAACCTGTGCTGTTTTCTGGCTTCTTCAAGTTCAGAAGACATGCCACACCTCTGAAGAGCACCTGTGGTACTAAATAATATTACAGGTGGTTTTACAAAGTAATTATTTATTTCTTCAGGGCATATAATAGTGTATGTAGCTAATGTATACAGGGCTCACATTTGTTTTCATTTTTTATATATAGAACTAATAATATTTAAATAAGCTGCCTTTAATAGTTAATAAATATATTTTCTCAAACAGAGGGCTATAAGTATGTAAATATAGCTATTCAGATATTTACTAAAACATATTAGGTTCATATTCAGATTGTTTATAGTTCTCTAGTTTTTAGGTTTTAGTTTTATTCCTACATAATTTAGAAAATATTTTGGGGAAACTTAGTTACTGATGCAAAATAAAATGTATTTGCTTACTTTATGACTTTATTATTAAAAATATTTAAGTTTTCTTGAGTGGGGAATGACAAGTATTTAACTTGCAGTGACAAGGCAGCTTTAAATCTTTTAGAGCTCTGCGGTAGCCCCATCTACCCAGCATGTGAAGACACCACAGACTTCAAATGCTCCTGATCTAAATGACGCAATTGTGAAACTGTTCAGTGACTTTGATGTTAAAGAAACCTCCCATCATTTAGTGATTTCTCATCTAGATCTACATATATGCGATGATATTCATGCTAAAGAAAAAGGTAATAAAAACTGCTATTTGAAACTATTTTGGTTTTCTCTAAAATTTACTGCACATCTGGATTGTTTTTCATATGTAATAAGTAGTCTGTACTCTTAAAATAACTGGTCATAATTTTATCATTCATTGAGATACATAGATGAAAGGTATAATTTTAAGGATTATATATTGGTGTAAAATTTTATTTTGCTTTGATAGATAGTGCCTCGACATAATTAATTGTTAGCTGTCAATACTAATGGTAAAATTAGTTTTTTTTTTTAAAAAAGACTGACATCCTTAGAAGATAATGAAAAATTAGACTTGCCTTTGAATTAGCTTTTTTTTTCATAAAAATTCATTAAAATATGAATTTTTTTCATAATTTTGAAATTGTTCGTAAATTAAATTTTAGTCCATATTCAAGTCATAATTATTTGCATATGTATTTTCACTTGATTTTAGCCCAAAGGCTGAGAAGTGATACATGTATATTTTCAGCATTAAAGTTGATATACTATTTTCCACCCCATGTGCATATAAACACAACTATGTGACTGTTTAAATTTTTCCTGTCTCCTTACTCCAGATCTTCCCTAAATTTGGTCAGGAAGCCAAATGCCAATTAGGAAAGTGTTTTCTTTTAGCTTTAGCTTCTCTTATTTTTCCTTATTTAATGAACACAGGTAATGGGTTAACAGGGAGGTGCCCTTGGTCACTTTGAAAATCTGTACTCTAGGTGCTAGGCATTTCTGTATATCCTTCAGAGCGTCCCTGGCCCATAATTTTTAGAAGGTTTCAGTGTCTTGCTTCTAAGACATTGGTTCTCACACCTTGATGAGCACGAGAATCAAGCTGAGAATCTTTTATTTATTTTCATTTGTTAAATGTTTATTTCTTTTATGTTTTGCTGTGTTGAGTCTTCATTGCTTTGTTTGGCTTTTTGTAGTTGCAGCAGGCGGGGGTTGCTCTCCGTCATCGTGCACGCTTCTCATTTTAGTGGCTTCTCTTGTGGTGCACAGGCTGTCGGTGCCCGGGCTTCAGGAGTTGCAGCACATGGGCTCAGCAGTTGCCGTTCGTGGGCCCGAGAGGACACAAGCTTCAGTAGTTTTGGCACTCAGGTTCATAGTTGCAACTTGTAGGCTCTAGAACGCTGAGTAGTTGTGGGACACGGACTTAGTTGCTTCACAGTGTGTGGAGTCTTCGCAGACCAAGGATCGAACCTGTGTCCTCTTCATTGCAGGTGGATTCTTGTCTGCTCTGCCACCAGGGAAGTCCAAGCTGAAACTCTTTTAAATGGAGGTATCTAACCTGTGGGCCTCAGACCTGAATCAGAAACTATGTCTATGAAATTTGTTGCTGTGAATTTTTATAACCGTGAGAGTGAATATTGAGACCAGCCCCTGATACTTAGCCATAGAAGTTATCCTGCCTTCTCAGGGCAGCCAGATATCAGCTGCCAGATAAAGAGCAGAAAAGGTTAAAGAAGATTTGAAGTTTGGAGAGATTTGTTGTCTTTTGTTTGTCTACCTTTGTGTCATTCAGCTTATAGGTGGCATCTTCTGCTTTAGTGATTTGAAAGGCAAATCAAAAAAAGTTAAAACAAACCAAAATATCAAAATGAGGGGTCATGGTTAAGTGATAAGCCAAAAAACAGAGAAAAGTGTTTTCTAAGCTCTTTTACATTCCTCATTCTATATTCCCTTATCAGTTCAGTTCAGTTCAGTCGCTCAGTTGTGTCTGACCCCGTGGACTTTGCGACCCCATGGACTGCAGCACACCAGGTCTCCCTGTCCACCACCAACTCCCGGAGTCTACTCAAACTCATGTCCATTGAGGTGGTGATGCCATCCAACCGTCTCATCCTCTGTCATCCCCATCTCCTCCTGTCTTTAATCTTTCCCAGCATCAGGGTCTTTTCAAACGAGTCAGTTCTTCTCATCAGGTGGCCAAAGTATTGGAGTTTCAGCCTCAGCATCAGTCCTTCCAGTGAACACCCAGGACTGATCTCCTTTAGGATGGACTGGTTGGATCTCCTTGCAGTCCATGGGGCTCTCAAGAGTCTTCTTCACCATCACGGGTCAAAAGCATCAATTGTTCAGCACTCAGTTTTCTTTATAATCCGACTCTCACATGCATACATGACCACTGGAAAAACCATAGCTTTGACTAGACGGATCTTTGTTGGCAAAGTAATGTCTCTGCTTTTTAATAAGCTGTCTAGGTTGGTCCCTTATAGCATAATATAAAAGCTGTTATTTAAGGACAAAACCCCTCTGCCAAAATAGCTTCCTCACACTACAGATCTATAATCAGTTCTCTGCTATTCTAAAATCCAGAAAGGCCCGAAATTCTTTTTCATAAGTTTGTAAAGAGTTTATTTTCTGGCACAAGTTTATCCATGGAGCATGTTGCTATTTATCATCTATATTTTACCCATTTAGTGTAAATACTTGAGTTTTGCTGAAGAATTACTGTCTTTCATTACTTTGTATGGACTTTCCACGTGGTGCTAGTGGTAAAAGAACCCACCTGCCAGTGCAGGAGACCTTAAGAGACTCGGGTTCAGTTCTTGGTTTGGGAAGATCTCTTGGAGGAGGACATGGTAACCCACTCCAGTATTCTTGCCTGGAGAACCCCATGGATGGAGAAGCCTGGCGGACTCTGGTCTATAGGGTCGCACAGAGTAGGACGTGGCTGAGCGACTTAGCACGCATGGCTTGGTGCTGCCTCAGAACCTGCTGGCAGTCTTACACACATACCATATTACTTTACTAAAAAGCTGAAACAGTTCTGAAACACTTGGCTCCAAGTGTTTTAGATAAGGAATTGCAGTTCTGTGCTAGAAATTCTGCCAGGTGATATAAATTGGAATTAAATTAATATAGAGAGTATGTACATAGCTTTATACTAATTTGTATTTGTTTAGTCCATGCTGGGTTTTTTTACTTTTTATTACTTTTGTTTTTGCCTGTGCTGGGTCTCCATTGTGGTGCCCAGACTTCTCACTGCAGTGGCCTCTGTTGTAGAGCACAGGCTCTCGGCACACGATTTCAGTCGCTGCAGCGCATGAGCTTGGTAGTTGTGGCCCACGGGCTCTAGAGCCTAGGCTCAGTAATTGTGGCTCATGGCCTCAGCTGCTCCACAGCATGTGAAATCTTCCTGGATCAGGGATCGAACCCTTGTCCCCTGCATTGGCAGACAGATTCTTATCTACTGCACCACTAGGGAAATACTGTCCAGGCTGTTTTAATATTTGATTTTTATGTTGGAGTTACACTGACTGTTTACCTTTGGGTTTTTTTTTTTAACCTTTTTATTTTTTTCCTTCTAGTTTTATCAAGATATAATTGTCATGTAACACTGTATAAGTTTAAGGCATACAACGTACTGATTTGACTTACATATGTTATGAAATGACCATCATAGTAAATGTAGTGCCCATCCGTCATCTCATATAAACACAAAATTAAAGAAATTAAAAAATTTTTTCAAAAAAAAATTTTTTTTCCTTGTGATGAGAACTCCTAGGATTTACTTTCTTAACAACTTTCATATAGAACATAGAGCAGTGTTAATTATATGTATCATGTTGTACATTATATTCCTAGTACTTACTTATCTGATAACTATGGAAGTTTATACCTTTGACTGCCTTTATCCTGTTGTCCCTTACCCTGTCTATTACTCATGTACATGTGGAATCTAAAACACAAAATACATGAACAGACATAACAAAATAGAAACAGTTTTAGATACTTCCAATCTTAATGTAGCTATGTGACTTTAGATAATTCACCTAAACTAGTAGATTCAATTGCTTCTTCAGTAGGAGGCAAGATGATGTAATGTAGTGGTTAAGATTTCCTGGTTTCAAAACCAGCTCTGCACTTACTGGTTGTACAACCTTGACCTATTTAGTTTTGTTAAGTAAATAGATTAGTGTTACCTGTTTTATAGGTTCGTCATGAAGAACAAATAAGTACACTTAAAATTTTTAAAACAGTGCTTGGCATCTTGTTAGGGCTGTAAATATAAAAGTTCTGCTATTCTTGTATCTTCACCTTTTAGCTTAGTACTTGCATATGATAAGGACTCAATAAATATTTACTGGATTGAATGCATTTCCTAAAATCCTTATTGTATTAACCTTGGTAACAGAGACAGTTGTCACTGCTTGGACTGCCAGTGTGGTAAATGAAATGTTTCTGATATTTGCTTAATCCTTCTTTCTTTACTTCTCTTTCAATTTCATTTTTTTTTCCCCAGAGTCAAACAGACGTATCACTGGAGGGGCTATGCAACTGTCTTTTACACAGCTAACTATAGATTATTATCCTTATCACAAAGCAGGTTTGTATAACAGTTTCTTTAAATTATGTAACTCTTGTTTTTAAATTATATAGCCAATCTATTGCATTTGTTTTTTTTTAATTTTTTAAGGAGAAAAGAGATCAAGACACTAAATATTTTTTCCCTTGGCCAGTATCTTATGAAGAAAATATAATTGCCATAGAAAACATTCATGTAGTTTATGTTGAGGTTTATGTAGATAAATGGCAAATATAATTGTTAGAAATTGAGAAAGATTAGAATATAGAAGACTACATTTGTACTGTATTGTATTTTGTTAGCTGTGACAAAAGAAAGTTATTAATATGTTTTGCATTTTAAATTATATATTCAAAAATCAAAAAAGAAAGAAAGCAAAAGGGTAACAGTGATTTTAGTTAAGTTGTAGGATTCCAGGTACCTTTTTTGAAACTTTTCTGTACTTTCTAAATTTCATCAATAGGTAAGATTTAATAGATTCTTTAATAATTAAATATTGATAGGTACTCCCCCTCCCCAAATAATGAAAATGAAAACATGTATGTTTATGGCCAAATTAAGTAATTTGACCTTATATCCATTTTTGCATTTTGGTGGTATGTGACTTTTATTTTTTAATTCATACAAATAAGGAAAAACAGATAGCTATAAAGAGTTTTCTAGGACTTTTAAAATATGATCAAATTTTTCTCTTCACAAATTTCAATCTCCCAGTATTGTTCATTTCTGTGTTAGTACCTGATAGAATTTAAAGATTGTGGTATTTAGAGTTTTGTTTGAAGGACTTTGTGTTACTTTGTCTGTCCTCCTGATTCACTGGTTACTTACATATATTGAATATAATTTTTACCATAGAAATCTTTCTTATTTGCGAGGTAAAACTTGTAATCATAAAGTAGATTTTATTTTTTTTAACCCTTTTATGTAGATATCACTTCTCTTAGTTGCTACAGAAAGACTTAATAATCCTGATTTAAAATTTTTCCTCCAAAGATATATACATACCAGTATATCAGCAGTTACTTTACCACACATCTTTGATGAAGAACCTTTTTTTCTGTATGGTATTTTCCAGGATTCTGTCTAATGGGGTTAGGCCGGGTGGGTGAGCATTTAATGAAGCTTGACCGCCAGTGCTGCTTCTTATTGAAACTTGAGTGATGGTCTGCTAAGCCTGGGTTCTAGATACAAATCCTCCCTGATGATTTTCTTTTGATACTCTCCCTCAATTCATATTTTGTGGAAAGGTTAATGTCTGTAGTCAGTGAAAGCTTCAAATTTATTGGAAGATTAAAGAATCCCTTGAGAAAATGAATATATTACTAGAAGCTTTCAGTTCAGTTCAGTTCAGTTGCTCAGTCGTGTCTGACTCTCTGTGACCCCATGGACTGCAGCACGCCAGGCTCCCTGTCCATCACCAAATCCCAGAGCTTGCTCAGACTCATGTCCATCGAGTCGGTGATGCTATCTAACCATCTTATCCTCTGTCATCCCCTTCTCCTCCCACCTTCAGTCTTTCCAAGCATCAGGGTCTTTCCCAGTGATCAGTTCTTCGCATCAGGTAGCCAAAGTATTGGAGTTTCAGCTTGAGCATCAGAAGCTTTGCTATAATGGAATATGTGAAAAGTGCATTTTTCAGTGAAATACTTGTTATTCATTTTACAGGAGATAGTTGTAATCATTGGATGTATTTTAGTGATGCAACCAAAACAAAAAATGGATGGGCCAACGAGTTATTACATGAATTTGAGTGCAACGTTGAAATGCTTAAACAGGCTGTAAAGGATCATAATGTAGGTTCACCTCCTAAATCCCCAACACATGCCTCTCCCCAGCACACACAAACAGGTATTTTACCTTAACAACCTTATGTCACTCCCTTAATATTAATTGTGTATGTGTATATGTGAGGATATATGTGTATGTTCACCATATGATATTTTATGTAAATAAGTATTGTGTTTAATTAATGTCTAAGAAACCTGTACCTCATTCAGATCATAGGATTATAGACAAAAGCACTTTATAAATTAATATGACTAATAGAAGTAATACCCCTGTAGAATATTACAGACTCCTAAGTGACAGGTAGATTTCTCTTTTTAACAGGAGTTCTACCAAAAGTTATTGTATGAGAGTTTTTTAAGTGTGATATGGGTATGATTCCCATTTGAAGAATAATTCTCACAAATAAGAAACTAATCATCATAGTAACTTACATTCTTATATCAGTTTATATGTAAAGTGTTTCCACATATGTTATCTTGTTTGAGAAGTTAGGGCTCATCTATATTTCTAGTAGCTGATTAACAATAAAAGAGTGACTGTTAAAAATAATTTCACTCTAAATTGAAAGGAATTTTTGTTTCCCACAGAGAAAGATTCAGCTCTTAAAGGGGCCTCCAAAAAGCCTTCAGCGTTATCTCAACAATCCAAAGTGAAGTTAATGTCTAGTTCTGTTGTGGTTAGACTTGCTGATTTCAATATATACCAGGTATGTTTTATTTTTTAAATTAAATCTTCTGATAAACACCTTTAGTATCTCCTGCAAGCAGCTCTTATCAACTGTGCCACCATTTTATTTATAAATATCTTGACCAGCTTTGTGAAATGACTAAATTAGAATAGGAAATACCTGTTCATTAATTTTTGTTTGCATGGTTACCCAGAATTGGGCAAAATGTGAGGTTAAGTGCTCAGTTTCCCATACTGCTAAGCTTGCACAAGACTTCTGACACCAACCATAGGTTTTTGGATTTCCCTGAATGGCCCACAGATTCAAGAATTCACTAGAAAAACTCACAGAACTCACTCATATCAGTCATGCTCAGCATCTCATTTATTGCAGGGGAGGGATATGAATTAGACAATAAGAAGAGAGCCCAGAGTGAAGTTTGAGAGGGCTCCAAGTTCAGAACATCCTTGCCTCCCAGGATGAACATTTAATAATTTGCGTGACATATTGCCCATGTAGTTGAATACAGTCTCTATGGGTGGACTTGATTCCAGATGACACAGCCTTCACCCTCTAAATACCACTAAGACTATCAAGTGTGGTCAGTCCCATTCTGAGTCATCTTGTCAAGCATATACTATCAGTTGTGGTCTTAGAGGTCTTCCATGAATAGGAAATTCCAAGAGTTTAGAATTAGCTCCCAGGAGCAGGAACAAAGACCAGACCTCTCTTTGGAGGCCGGATTCCATATTACACAAAGGTTTTCATGGAAGAAACTAAAATACAGTTTTTGCTTAATCAGACTAAGTATTGGCTATCCTGTGAACATTACTTTATAGCTAAGGACTCTGTCCCATTTATACTAACAGTCTTATTCAGGCTATAATTATACAACCTGGTCTGATATCCCAATCGTTGAGACCAACACAATAGGGACATGAACCTTTTTTTTTAAAATAAAGGATTTCAAGTATATATTATCATTTATGAATTATTCTGGTATATTTTGATAAATCTATGTCTTTGAAACTTGGTTTTATCTGAAAAGTTTTCATTTTACTTAGTAATTTTTGACTGGGGCCAGTTATGCCCTGCAGGGGACACTTGGTGATGTCTGAGGACAGTTGTCACAACTGGGGGGAGGTTGTCACATCTGGAGGGGGTTGCTGCTGATGTCTAGTGGGTAGAGAGTGATGCTGCTGAACATTCTACAGCCCCACAGCAAAGAATTACCTGGCCTCAGACATCAATGATACCATTTTGGAGATGCATTGATGTAAGAGTTATTTTCTTATTGTACAGTTGTTTCTTTCTTAATATTCTATATGTAATGCATTATATTTGAATAAGTTCATATGGATATGGGGAAGGAAGATCACCCGTAGTCCTGTATGATTTAGGATGAAGGACAATAAAGAAATCCCACATACACAGAGAACCAAAACAGAGCAAAAGTAACTGGAAGAAAATAAGATAGTATGTTCATCCCAGTGTGGAAAACTTTTTAACTATTAAAAGAAAAAGGAAAAAAACTATTATCTACTAAAATAACGTGACACTCTAGAGTTGAAAAGAATTTGTTTCCATGAGTACATAGAAAAACTTACTAGATAATATAAGGGACTGACTTAAATTTAAGAAGACTGTACAGATAATCAAAAGGTTTGATTAGCAATTTATAAAAGGGAAACAAACCAGTGAAGAGTATCTACTTTGTGTGAGAAATATACATGTTTGTTGAATGAACAACAAAATAAAACTTTGAGATACATCCCTGGGTCTGCTAATAAGCAAGCATAAATAAATGAAATTGATAAGATGCTATCTGTTGAACTTTGGAGAGGTTCGTATACATGCTTTTGATATAATTAGCTGTTTTGTGGAGAGTGAAAGATGTGTAACGTGAATCTTAAAACTAATAGTTTTTTTGGAAGAAAGCTCAGACTGTTTGACAGGTGCATTTATAGTTGTACTGTTATTTTTAAATTTTTATTGTGGTAAAATATATTTAACATTTATCATTATAGCCATTTTTAAGTGTACAGTTCATTGACATTAAGTATATTCACATTATTGTGTGATTATCACCACTGTCCATCTCCATAATTTTTTTATTATTCTAAACTAAAGGACTGTATTTAGTTATATTATTTTTCATAATAATGAATTATAGTAAAGAATTATTATGAAGTGCATAGTTGGGAAGTAGTCTAGTCTTTAAAACTTGAATCTTGTCCTGACTCTGCCATTTATATATTTGTACTGTCTTACAGAAATATTTTGTTGTTGTAAGCCTCAGAGTAGTAAATTTGCAAAGAAGTTTGTACAGAATTGAGTTTGTAATTGATGAGAATCCAAAGAGGTTTTGGTTTTATAAGTTGATTTGTATTATTTTAAAACAGTTTAACGTGAAATTAAATATATAATAAAGATTACAGTGGCAGTTAATTATTGGAAATAGTTTTAAGAATTTGAAGTGATGTTTGTGTTGCATAAATCTTTGGTGGAAAGGGCTTTGTTTCATGTTACTTCAATAAACTTAATTTCTTTCTTTAGGTCTCTACAGCAGAACAATGTCGATCTTCCCCTAAAAGTATGATTTCTTGCAATAAAAAATCCCTGTATCTTCCACAAGAAATGTCAGCTGTCTATATAGAGTTCACAGAGTATTACTATCCAGATGGGAAGGATTTTCCAAGTAAGAGCATTCCCTGTTTGGTTTTTGCTTGTTCATTACTCATGAAGTTTTATTTTTCCTTGCTAAGTTTTTGAGTTTTATAAATGTGAAAAAAGAAAAACAGAAGTCTATTGTTCTTTACCCTTATAATCATTGTGTTTTGTATATAACTCTAGTAGAGCATTTTTACATACTTATTTATTTCTGTGTTTTTTTTCCTTACTAGCTTGTAGCATCGTTTGTGTCAAGAACTGTGTACTATTCATGCTTAATTTTATTCCTGAGGTTTGACTCATTTTTGTTCTTAGCAGCTGTTGTTAAATGAAAGAATGAATGAAAGTTAGATTATTTGTAGAATAAGATCAATGTTTTTTCTTTAGCAAAACTCATTTATATTTCATTTATATAAAACTAAATATAGTAAACTGTAATGTAATCATTACATAGTAAACTATAATGTAATGTAATCATTCATTGTAAACTGGATGAAGTTACCCGTTTAGCTATAGAGAATTTGGGAGGCTGGATTTTGATACCCAAATGTATACTTTGGACAACTTTTGGCACTTGTCTTTAGTTAGAAACATTGAGTTACATGAATTTTTATTTGTAAGCTACTTTATGACTATACATTGGTGTTCTTTGGTATTGTCTCAGTTCATCTGATTCTTCAAACAAAAATTTGCCTTTGTTCATGTAGTACCTTTTTCATTATTTTGGTTGAAAATCATAGTTGAAAAAAGGTGTTTAAATGAAATGGCTTATGTTATTTTTAATTTTAAATGGGTTAATTTTTAAGTGGAACTCCAAATTCTCTGGGCTACTTAGCCCATTTGTTTACTATTCACTTAATATAGGTTTTTAGTTTCAAAGGGAATTTCTGATGCTCATGTCTTTTTTGTAAAAAAGAAGATAGCCTGGAAATTACTTTGAAAAAAAAAATCAGACTATTTTATTTCAATCCTCATTTGTACCAATTGTTTAGGATCTAATCCTCACCATCTTCATGCTTTTCAGTGGTCTTTTTGTATATTTCAAATGTGTTTTCTCTTCTACCTTCTTGACAGAAACTGAAAATTAAGATAGGTTAAGGCATTTGTTCAGCACCTCATAAAGAATAAAGTGGCACAGCTGAAACTCAAGTATAGGTTTTCTAAATCAAAATTTTTCCCACCCCATCCCATCCTCACCCCCAAATTGTATTTCACTGCCCTCCAGTTGTTTACAATCATTTATCTGTAATTGGATAATCCTTTTGTTTCCAACACCCCCCATTGTTTTCCTTAAATAATGTCTCATTCATTGAACTAGTAATTTTTCTTCAGAGTAAAACCTATAGTTTCCAAGATTTCTGACTTCTAATCTAGGTTTATTTTTATCAGTTTTGTTAATGTGCACCAAGGAAATTAAAATATTCTATAATCTATACATTTTCTTTTGATAAAAATATAAAATTCCTTCACAGCAATTTGAATCTGAGCTCCCTAATATTTAGGAGTGAAACTGGTTGGTTATGTTTAGCTACTTTTAACTTTTTATTATGGAAAATTTCAAACATATACAGAAATAAAGAGCATGACATATTGAATCCCTATGTACAGGGATTTGTTTGCAGTTTTCACATTTCATCTTTCTGTTAAGTGCTCCAACTTTAAAAATGTATAATCTTTTCTTTATAATTGTAAATATAGCATGCATTCATTATACATTGTATATAAAGAAAATACCCCCCCCCCCCCGCCCCCGCAAAAAAATGCCCTGGAACCTACAGTTTAGAGAGAACTTCTGCTAATAAAAGTGTATCAATTTGCTAAGGCTACCATAATAGAATACGACAGGCAGTGGTTTAAATAACAGAAATTTGTTTCCTCACAGTTCTAGAGGCTGGAATTCTAGGTCGAAATGTGGGCATGGTTGTTTCCTGGGAGACCTCTCTTCCTGGCCTCTAGATGGTTATCTCCGCACATGGTCTTTCCTGTGTGTGTCCGTTTTCTAGTCTCCTTATCACACCTGTCATACTGGACTAGGGCCACCCCTGTAAACTCATTTTGACCGTAATTGACTTTTTAAAAGGCCTAACTCCAAATACAGTTATTCCTGAGGTATTTGGAGTTAGAACCTTAGCTTATCTATTTGAGGGGATGCATTTCAGACCATAACAATAGGTATAGTGTTGTTAGTCCTGTTTTGAATGTATGCATTTGTTTAACATACTTGATTTACATTCTGACCTTTCCCCTTAATGAGCCTAGTTTTCTGCAAGTTTATTTTAAATATCTTTAATGGCTATGTGATAACCTGGTTCATAAGCAGACGCCTGTTAGAGACCGCATATAGATCTTTTCACTGCTTAGTGTACTGAGTTTCTTCCTCTGTGCCAGATCTGCGGTCAGAGTTCTTCTGTTCTTCTGGACTACATTTACTCTCTAGTTCTCTCTGTGACTGCCATTATCACTACTCTGTATTTAAAATTCCCTCTTCTTTTTTCCCCAGTGTGATTACCTCAGCAGCTCTCCCCCTTACTATCCTTGAAGATAAGCACCTCCACATCCCTGATAAGATGTCTCTGTTGTACTTTAATTTTTCTACTTTCATATATGTCTCTTGTAATCACCCATGCACTTTTAAAGGAAAGATCTGTGACCTTTTTTATATTCTTTGTGCCTAATACAGTATAGTAAATGTAGTTGGCTTCTTTGAATCTGCTGAAAGAAAGTAAATGAATGAAAGAAAACAAATCCTCTTCAACACATTGTTACAATGTCATTTCTCTATTGGTATCTCACACCTTCTGTTTATTTTGCTTAAATTAGCATAGTTTAAAAGTTCTAGATATTCATACTGTTTGCTTTGGTAAAAGTAAATAGGTCTGAAATTTTGGAATAAAAGATCTTCATCAAAATACTCTGAAAATGATAATGGTTTTTATGAAGCAATAGATACAGATTTCAGGGAGTGATACACTCTAATTATGAATATTAGTTTAACATAAATTAGCACTAAAACATTTATTCAACCCATAAGAGTCCAGTGTTTTGGAGGATCTATGAGTGTATTTGTTTGGTTATTCAAGATATACTTGATTTTTTTACTTGGTACCAGATACTGTTCTAGGCTTATGATTAAGTGGAGAATAGAACTTGTGAATTGTCCCTCCTCAAGGAGAACTGTCTCACTTAGCACTTTCATAAGAAATTAGTCATTAGGCTTGGTTCTTTCATTTTAGAGAATTCAGATTAAGTCAGGTAGTAAATCCTTGTAGAAAGATGTGACTGAGGATCACAACTTTGATGTGATACTTTGAGCAAGAAGGTAAAATTTTTGAAGTTTGCTTCTTGGTAACTGTAACATTAGGAAAAGAAATCCAAACAATACCTCTTATTTATGCAGTCAGATTTAGATCAAACTGTATATTTTTCTATTAGTGAAGCGTTGAAGATGTTTCCTGTCTCTCCAGACATGTTTGCTACCATCCCCTTCCAGATATAGTATCACTTAAATTTTGTAAATAACATTGTAAACTATTTTAATGTCAATGTGGAAAGAATAAAGCTTAAACATGTATTTTCTGTTCTCAGGGAAGATTTAGAACTATCGGTTTAAAAATCTTTCTAAATTTTTTTTCTCCGCAGTTCCATCTCCCAACCTTTATAGCCAGCTGAATGCACTACAGTTTACTGTGGATGAAAGAAGTATTTTATGGTTAAATCAGTTTGTGTTGGATTTAAAACAAAGTCTTAATCAATTTATGGCTGTGTACAAGTTGAATGACAATTCAAAATCTGATGAGCATGTTGATATTCGAATCGATGGCTTAATGCTAAAGGTACCATATAAACAAGTGGCTGTGAGAATAAAACCATTTTTACAGAAGAAAAGTTAACAGCATTGTAATTTCCAGGATTTAAGATGGGTACTCAAATATAAGTCAACTTCATTGCAATCTTAATTTTAATTTTAATGTTTTCAATTATAGAAGCTTTAAGGGACTGCTTCCTCTCTCTTCCCCATTCCTTCTTTCTCTACTTTTCTGCTTTTTTTATTTTTTCCAGTGCTCATCCATTTGGAGGTGAGCAGTAGAGATCAGTTGTTTTTCCTTTATTCTTTGTTTTATTTTTGACTACACTGGGTCTTCGTTGCTGTGCTCAGGCTTTCTCTAGCTGCCGTGAGTGGGGCCTACTCTTACTGAGGTTGCAGGCTTCCCAGTGTGGCGGCTTCTCCTGTCCAGAGGGTGGTTTGTAGGCGCCTGGGCTGCAGTAGTTGCAGCGTGCGGGCTCCGTGGTTGTGGCTCACAGACTCTCCAGCGTGGGCTTCAGTGCTTGCGGCGCATGGGCTTAGTTGCCTGGCAGCATGTGGAATCTTCCTGGACCAGGGATTGAGCCAGTGTACCTTGCACTGACAGGTGGATTCTTAGCTACCACACCACCAGGGAAATCCTAAATGTCATTTTTTCCCCCTGCTTCTTACAAGAGCTGATTAAAAAAATTTTTAATAAGGGTAAATAATACAGTGAAGTTTTAAAATTGTGTCTGGGCTTTAGTTGTTGCATTTATTCTGTTATTAACGTCTAGAGGTAATGGAAAGTTCCTTTTTATTGCCACCAAGTAGTTGATAATCAGAATTCCATGGATATTTGAACTTTAAAGGAAGGAAGCTAAAAAAAACAATAGTATAGTTTGAACTCTTTGTTGTAAATATTTTGAAGACTGGGCTTTATTATCTGTAGAAAATAATTTTAGTAAATAGTTTGACCTATACTCCTATGTTTATTTTCTTAATAGTTTTCTCCCAAATAAATGACTCAAGTGACAATTATCCAGTCATTCCATTTACTTATCTAGTGATCCTCTAGATCACTTGAATTTAAAATATGACAAAAAATTCTCTTTTCTAAACTTGGCACTTAGATACTCAGTGCATATGTATATATACACACACTCAGGGCATACTAAACATTTAATCATTTATTTACTTGATTTAATTAAGCTTTGTCCCTTTTATTTTGTGATAGTCTACAAATATCTGTGTTATGTACATCTTTCATTGTGATTTTTTCCCCCTTTGGTTCTTTTCTTAGTTGTTAATCATTTAAGCCTTTTTTATTTGGTTTAATAAGATTTGGGGGGAGAGAATATTTTATGTCAGGATAGAAAAATACTGTTTTGGGGGAGAAATGTCAAAAAAGGATTTCTGTGCTGTCATATTACTTTATCTTCAAGCTGTGTGGATTTGTAAGTCAGCCTAGATTAGTTTTTTTTTTTCTCTTCTAGTTTGTCATTCCTTCTGAAATGAAATCTGAATGCCATCAAGATCAACCACGTGCAATTTCTATTCAGAGTTCTGAAATGATTGCTACAAATACAAGACACTGTCCAAACTGTCGGCATTCTGATTTAGAAGCTTTATTTCAAGACTTCAAAGACTGTGATTTTTTCAGTAAAACATATACCAGTTTCCCCAAATCTGGTGACAATTTTAATATTCTGCATCCAATCTTCCAGAGACACGCTCATGAACAGGATACCAAACTGCATGAAGTTTATAAAGGCAATGTTACCCCCAAGTTGAATAAACACACTCTTAAAACCTCGGCTGCCACGGATGTTTGGGCTGTGTACTTTTCTCAATTTTGGATAGATTATGAAGGGATAAAAAGTGGAAAAGGACGACCAATAAATTTCGTAGATTCCTTCCCTCTTTCCATCTGGATTTGTCAACCAAAAAGGTATGCAGTGTCACAAAAATCACTGCAGACTTGTAATCAAACTTCTCTAAATACATCACAAAGTGAATCTAGTGATCTGACTGGCCGATGGAAGCGAAAAAAGCTCTTGAAGGACTATTACAGTACAGAATCTGATCCCTTGACCAATGGTGGTCAGAAACCTTCTTCAGATACATTTTTAAGATTTTCTTCACCATCATCAGATGCAGATATTCATGTCTTGGTTCACGTTCATAAACATGTCAGTATGCAAATCAATCACTACCAGTATTTGCTCTTGCTTTTCCTACACGAGTCACTTATTTTGCTTTCAGAGAATTTAAGGAAAGATGTAGAAGCTGTGACTGGTAGTCCAGCTAGTCAGACATCTGTTTGCATCGGAATTTTACTTAAAAGTGCAGAAGTGGCTCTTTTGCTACATCCTGTGGATCAAGCAAATACTCTTAAGTCTCCTGTTTCTGAAAGTGTGAGCCCAATGGTTCCGGATTATTTGCCTGCAGAAAATGGAGAATTTTTGTCTTCAAAAAGAAAACAAGTTAGTAGTGGAATAAATCAGATTAGAAGTATAACTCTTAATCATATGTCAGACAACAGATCTATGAGTGTTGACCTTAGCCATGGCCCTTTGAAGGATCCTTTGCTTTTTAAATCAGCTAGTGATACAAATCTGCAAAAAGATACTTCTTTTCTGGATTATGTATCAGATAAAAATTTAGGGAAAATAAGCGAAGATGAAAGTAGTGGACTTGTTTGCCAAAGTGGCTCAGGAGAAATTGGATCAGAAACAAATGGCAAAAAGGATTCATCTTACACAGATTCAAATAGTATCTTAAACTACAGAGAAGATTCAAGTATACTGTCATTTGATGATGGTGGTAATCAGAACATACTTTCAAATAGTTTAACTAGTAAAAGAAGTGAAACCATAGAGTCAATCTTTAAGGCTGAAGATTTGCTTCCAGAAACAGCTTCACTGTCTGAGAATGTGGAAGTCAGTAAAGAAGAAGCACCCACCATCAGAACACTTAAATCACAGTCATCCTTAAGGTAATGACTGACTGTTGGATTTGGATTGGGAGTTTGTTTAATTGTGTGTGTGTTTGTGTGCACGCACACGCACAACACACAAGCATGTGCATGTGCTTTGGACAGAAAACCATGGTAAATGAGGCATTGTTAAAACTAATACATGGAAAAATAAGTTTTTAAGAATATGAAAATACTTTGAGCTTATCCTTAGATAATATGATTTTAAAACTTTGTGTATATTATATATATATTTTGTTTGACGTATTCTTTAAAAAGTATCCTTGTCCTTTTATGTGATGTTCTTCTGGTGCTGTTGTTTGTTAACAGTGGAAAGCCTAAGGACCGTTGCCCATCCAACTTGGCTCCACTCACTGTTTCTTGTAAGAACATGAGAAGAAGCCCCTCACAAACCTCCCTGGACACCATTTCACTTGACAGCATGATGTTGGAAGAACAGTTATTAGAAAGTGATGGAAGTGATAGTCATATATTTTTGGAAAAAGGTAAAGCAATACAATTTAAGAATTTATATACACACAAATCCTAGAAGTGGCATTTAAGGTTTTTTAGTTATACTGAGTAATCAGTTATAGCCTAAAAAGATTTATTTATACACACATACACACACAATACAAAGAACATTGTACCTAACTTCCTAATAGTTGTTCTAGAGCTTCTTTTGACCACATACTCCTTCCTTCTTATGGTCAATGTTTAGCAGTTATTTATATATAGTCATTTAGATCATAAAATCATTTAGATCATTAATGCTACTAGCCTCTATCACAGGGACCCCTGTATCTGGAATTTGATTAGATTGGCTTAACTTTGCATGATGAATTCTCAACTATGACTGTAATTTTCCCAGTCTATGTGGTTCTATGACTGTAATTTTTCCAGAATGGATCTTTATGGTTCTATGACTGTGGTTCTGTGACTGTAATTTTTCCAGAACGGATCTGTTGATTGCCATAACCAGAATTCTCCTTCATATGTGACAGTGTATGATGGAACTACATGATTCCCCTATTTTATTCAGAAGCAATGAATGCCCCAGTACAGACCATTAGGAATGACTTAGTATTAGACACATCCCCATCACTAAGACATTGGGGACTTTGTGAACAGGAATAAAACTGTGGACTGTAGCCAGAGAATAGTTGCCTGTACAGACCTGAAAGTTTCAGTTCAGTTCAGTCGCTCAGTCGTGTCTGACTCTTTGCGACCCCATGAACCGCAGCATGCCAGGTCTTATGAATTACTTTGCGTATGAATAGTAAAAGCTATTGATACAGTTGAAAACGGCTTAGGTTAGGAAAGGCTCATAGCTTTAGAAACTGAAGCGTGGAGAAATTACTGTCCAGGTAAGAAGTAATAGAGGCAGATTTGGATCTCAGTTGGTCTTACTCAGGAACCTAAGCTTTTAACTAACCAGTATGCTATGCCAGCACCCCAGACTTGGGAAATGGTTACTATATGTAAACAAAAAGCCCTTTTGTAGGCCATTCACAGTAATCTTCTTCCCAGCATACTTTACCAGTTAAATATAGATGAGGTGCTGATAGGGGTCATAGAAATGTATTCTTGATTCAGATAGCTCTATTGCCTAGATCCCTTGCCCCCGTCAAGGCTTAAGATTCTACTTTAATAGAAGATTTCTGTTTTGTGATCAAATGATGCTTCAAAAACAGTGTTCCTGTAGAAAACATCTCCATTTATTCTCAGAAAGTATCAGTGATTTTTTTGTTTCTGAAAATTAAATAATAAAAGTGACTACCTCTCAATGTGGAAAATTTGGAAAATATAAACTACTACAATTTGGAGAATAACCCAAACGTCCCACAATCTAGAGATACCAATTGTAATTTATCTTGTAAATGTATATATATATTTCCATACATGTATATATAGTATCACTCCATATATACGGTTTTCAGCCTGTTTTTTTTAACCAGTATTAAATTATTAAATTGTCATAAGAATGTACCCTGACCTTTTAATTGTTTCCCTGATATTGGATGTTTAGATTGTTTTTAGTTTTTTTCACAGCTATAAGATGCTATAATTAGTATCATTGTTCATTAATTTTTATCAGTTTAATTTCTAATAACTGCCTTAGAATAGATTCTATCTGTAGGCTGTTTTTAGGCTCTTGAAAAATACAAGGGCATTTGATTTTATGTGTAACGCTTAAATGATATATGACTATGTATTCATAGTTCTCTTTAACTGGAATAAGTTTCTGTTAAAGGAATTATTCTCATTAGGAAAGGACTTATTTTTTCTGTGTTTTGTTTTAGTTTTATAAGAAGTTTATGAGTTCTTTCTCATTTAAAAAAGCATCAGATGTCATGGAAACATCTAGAGTAAAAATTTAAGGTATCACTCTAATACCACTGTTACTCTGCCCTTGATACCGTTCCCCATTCTGGAAACAGCTACCATTGGCTTTTGGTATATATAATTCCAGACATTTTTCTTTGTGTTTTTATGTACATGTTGGTATGTTTACATGGCTTCCTGGTGGCTCAGATGATAATGAATCTGCCTCAGTGTAGGAGACCCAGGTTCGATCTCTAGGTTGGGAAGATCCCTGGAGAAGGGAATGGCTAACCACTCCAGTATTCTTGCCTAGAGAATTCTATGGACAGAGGAACCTGGCAGGCTACAGTCCATGGCATCACAAAAAGTCGGACATGACTGAGTGACTAATTCTTTCACTTCACTTTCATGTATGTTTCCACATATGAACACTAACATATATATACACACACACACACATATTTACATACACATATATATTGTGAATTTGTATTTTGAATATATATACATATTTATAAATGAACAAACCCATAGCTAGACTGCCAGCCCACCACAGATTTCAAACTAGTCTTCCCAGTTTTTTTTCATCTCATAGGCAGAATATTCTTTTAAAATGTGTATATTATCATGTCAATTTCCATTTTAGTCCTGATACGTTTTAACTGCTGTAAGGCTGTTAATTTAAAAAGAAGCTTAATGTTACTGACAGTGCTGTGTGACCTGGCCCCAGCTTGCATTTCTGCTATTTTCCCATGTGCTTACTACACTTAAGTTGTACTGTAATATTTACTGTATAGTATATGTCAGTCTTTCTGTCAGTCTCTTTACTAGGACAGACTTCCTCAGTCTTTGTACCTGTGCCTGGAATATTCTTCTTTCTTTTTACTTTATCTTAAATATTATTTTCTTAACCTCTGGCAGTGTTAGGAACTCCCTGTGAAATGTGGGAATTTATTCATACTACAATTTTTATTTATATGCATTTCTCCAACCTAAAAATCATTTTATTTATCCATTCAATAGGTAATTTATTGAACACCTACTTGCTTTGTTAGGCACTGAGTTAGAACCTGGTTATATATAGTAGTAAATATAATAATAAAAATTATTACAAAGAAAGACAAATACTGTATGATTTCACTCATATTGTGGGTTATATTTTTTAAAGACCAAAATGAAAACAGAGCAAAAACAAATTTATAGATAGAGAAAGCAGATTGGTTGTTACCAGAGGGCAAGGGGATGGGGAAATGGTCAAAGTGGATGGAGGAGATCAATTTTATCATTATGGATGGTAAACTAGTCTTTTGATGGTGCACTTTGTAGTGTACACAGATGTCAAATTATAATGTACATCTGAAAAAAAGAAATTTTTAACAGGCTGCTTGCAAGCTACATTCAGAAGAATGTTCTTTCAATGAATGAAAGTGATACTCATTCTATAATGCATTTAGTGAAGTGTTATGAAGACTTATGATCAAGATGTTTATAACAACAGCAAAGTAAAGCTTTGTAAAATGCTATCATGTAAGCAAAAGGGTTTAGAGAATGACTGACTTGATTGTTTTGTCAGTGAATTAATCCTTGAAATCATTTTTCGAATTATTAGCTTTTCTTTTTTTTTAGTATAAAGTCAGAATCCAGGCATGATTGAAGTGAAAAAAAAAAATGAGGCTTTGTTTTGTGTCTTTGGCCCGTCTCATTTTTCTAGATTCATTTTCATTTCAATAATTCTTTTTTATGGTGTTTCTAAAAAGTGTTGATCTGTTATGAACACAAGTTTTTAAAAATTATCTTTTACCATAGGGAGTTTGAGATATATTGAAAAAGAGCACATTGAGGAATTAAGGCAGGTTGGTAAGGATGGAAAACAATCACATTGACAATAGTAGTATTAACTTCATGTAGAAGAACTTTAGGATACTGAAAAGGGAAATTAAATGGGCAGACTGGGATCACTGAATGTTGGCTAGAACAGAGGAGGCAAAGCTGGCTGACCAGGAGCTGCCAGTAACGCCCACACCACCCCTGCAATGGGAAGAACACAGGCTGGCTGGCTGCGGTAGACTTCTTTAATACTAAGTTTAGGGTTTAATATCTCTAACGCCTTATTGTGGAAAGTTATTTCTTACTTTTTGCTGACTAACTGCTATTTAATTTTTCTTTGCTTCTTGTCTTCTTAAATAAGACTATGCTTAAGAAAGAGTTGAAGGAACAGTCCATTTTGGTTAGATAAATGAAACATTATTGGATCATGTATAAACTGATTTTAATTTATTAGTTTATTTTTATCTTATTTCAGGTATTAAAAAGAATTCAACTACAAATTACCCGAGCCCAGCAGATCAGACAAATGCCAGTGCAAACCTGCAGAATTATGGTGAAACCTCTCCAGATGCCATCAGTACAAATTCAGAGGGTGTTCAAGAAAGTCATGATGACCTGGTAATCTTTTCAGAGACATTCTATGAAGAGAAATGCCACCAACTTTATCTCATATTCAATATGTACCCATAAATGGGCATTGATATGTAAAAATAATTGACTGAGATTGTGGGTAATTTACTTTGCTCTTCCTCCTCTTGACATTTTTCCTTCACTCTTACTGAATTGTTATTCTCTGAATTTCATTTTTCTAAATTTTTTTTTAAAAATTGTGTTGAAGAGGAAAGGTTCTATCTTTTTTCCATTCTTTATGTTTTGACCTTTATTTTAATTTGATTAAATCTACTGTGAAAAAGTTTGATAGTAAGGATGGTAGTCAGTCCTTATGAGGGGCTGTCTACAAAAGAAATGTTACTGGTTTATTTCAAGCCCTCTTCACCTAATGAAGTATTCTTATAGGTGCCTTAGAAAATGTGTTCAGCTTTTAATGAAAAGCTAATGAAAAATATATAACAAAACTGTCATATATTTAATCTTTGTGACCCAAAACAATTCTCTTGACTGAGCAGAAAGAAAGGAAGTAGAAGTTTATAACCGTAATATAATAACTGCTTTCTGTTGGTCACAAATGTATTTTTATTTTATTAAGTCACCGTTGTATTTTTTAGAGGTTATAGTAGTTTCCTGTGTTTTTCCTAAATTTTGTTTTGAATTATTTGGTATACTAATATTATTTATGCAATCCTTTTTAGATGTCAGTTGTGGTATTTAAAATTACTGGTGTTAATGGGGAAATTGACATCCGAGGTGAAGATACGGAAATCTGTCTTCAAGTGGACCAAGTGATACCAGATCAGTTAGGCAATATCAGTTTACGGAATTACCTTAGTCATCGTCCAGTAGGTAAGACTTTAATGTGATTTAAGCTTGTTTTCTTTTTTAGTATATATGTCAGCAGCATTTCTACCTTTGATGTAAATAAATTCAAGGAAAATGATATTTATTTATAATAATGCAAAAGATTTATTTTTTTAGATTATCGTATTTCCGTAAAGTACTTTAAGTTGTTAGAAACACAATCTATTGAAGAGGTACTCTCTAATTTCTTTTTGTTTCTGCTAAGTTCCATCTTTAATTTTTTGTCTTCCCATTCTTTGAAATGATAGGTTTGAGAAAACTAAGGTTTTTTTCTACATGACAAGAGTGATAAAGTAATCCTGAAAGGTCAGAGTTAGTTCCACACCAGAATAAGTGTCAATTTTTGTATTCCATTGTCTTGTTGTTGTTAAGTTGCTTGGTCACGTCTGACTCTTTGTGACCCCATGCACTACAGCAAGCCAGGCTTCCCTGTCCTTCACCATCTCCTGGAGCTTGCTCAAACTCATGTCCACTGAGTCGGTGATGCCATCCAACCATCTCATCCTCTGTTGTCCCCTTCTCCTCCTACCTTCAATGTCTCCCAGCATCACAGGGTCTTTTCTAATGAGTCGGCTTTTTGCATCAAGTGGCCAAAGTATTGGAGTTTCAACTTCAGCATAGTCCTTCCAATGAATATTCAGGACTGATTTCCTTTAGGATGGACTGGTTGGATCTCCTTGCAGTCCAAGGGACTCTCAAGAGTCTTCTCCAACACCACAGTTCAAAAGCATCATTTCTTTGGTGCTCAGCCTTCTTTATAGTCCAACTCTCACATCCATACCTGACTACTGGAAAAACCATAGCTTTGACTAGACGGACCTTTGTTGGCCAAGTAATGTGTCTGCTTTTCAATGCACTGTCTATGTTTGTCATAGCTTTTCTTCCAAGGAGCAAGTGTCTTTTAATTTCATGGCTGCAGTCACCATCCATAGTGATTTTGGAACCCAAGAAAATAAAGTCTGTCACTGTTTCCATTGTTTCCCCATCTGTTTTCCATGAAATGATGGGACCAGATGCCATGATCTTAGTTTTTTGAATGTTGAATTATCTTGCTTTATTTTCCATTATCTTGCTTATAAGCAAGTATTTCATGAGTCTGGTGTTATACTTGATACTTGGTAAAATCATGTATCCTGTTCTTTTGGGTTTTCATTCTAAGATCAATACATGCTCCTAAATATAGAGGGATATAAGCAAAAAAACATGCCATGTATGATGAGGAATGCCACATTAAATCATTCTTTTTTCAAGCTTTATATGGAATTATCACTCATAGTTTTCGGTCATTTAAAGACCTGAATTTATTAAAATAATTATGCTGAGAAATGTAAATGACAGTGTTCAGTTTTTTAAATCTTTTGAAAAGTCACTTAGCTGTAATATTTTTCTTTGCTACATGTACAGAATGCTATATCTGATATAATACATGTTGAAATACATGCAATCCTGCATGATATCAAACAAACATGCTATCACCTCACATCCTGGGAATTGCAGGTTTGTCTACAAACCAGCATCATAGAAGAAAGTTACCTCCTGAGTTTTTCTATGTGTAGGCCTTGCAGTTTACAATGTATCTCCTAAAAAGAAATTCAGGAATTTCATATTAGGAAATGTCAATCCCAATAGCATACAAAATGAAAGAAGCTAAGTATTCAGTATATATAGTTGGAAAGATTTTATAGTAGATGAAAAAACAACAAAAAAAGATAGAATGTAAAATTTCAAAAGCTAAACCCTGTTCTATACCCAACCAAACACTTTTTTGCACAGTTTTTTGCTTTATACCCCACTTATTACCATATCCTATTGCTTTGCGTCATCTTGTTTCTAACTGTAGAAATTATTTTGAAATACCTTGTATGTATGGATTATATAGGCAGTACTGTCTAATACCTTAATTTTTTTTTTTTTTTACAGCTGTCTTGGTTTAAAAATGAAATAACAAGAAAGAAAGGAAAGGGAAAGAGAATAAAGGGAAAAGGAGAAAAAAAAGTTTAGCTTGAACATTTAAGACATTAATAAGCCATATGAACAAAGATTGTAATTTGATCTATAGTTTATATACACTGTCACTCTGACATGAACAGTTAAAATTATAAGGTTTTGTTTCAGTTTTTCTATAATAATGTGTAGAGTTTGGATCCCTTTAATGGGAAGCCTTTTTAAAGTTTCATGGCATAAGAGGTAGTAGGGAGAAGTGATTTTGTTTTAATTCTGCTCTAAATACTCTTTTTGTTCGAAATGATTTATGACTCTCAGGGCCCTGGAGTATCTATCTCTGTGTGTGTGTGTGTGTGTATAGATAGACATATATAGTTATAATATAGATAGATAAAAGGCAAAATAAAATCACACTTACCAAGTTATTTGTTTTGAATTGTTCTTACTGTTAAATAGACAAGTTAGTTAACTCTTGGTTTTCTTGGTACAGGAAAGAACATTAACCACTATGAGTTTGTGGCCATTTCTTTTACTTTCTATTTTTAAAAATACACGATTTCTTAATTGTTTAAAGAATTCTTAGGGAGTTTTCTTATTTTTTTCTTTTTTTCCACACCATGTGGCTCGTATTCTCTGATCTGGGATGGAACCTGGCCCCTGGCAAGTGTTATTAAGTGGACCACCAGAATTCCCTGGGAGTCTTTTTGAACTCTTCTGATATCTATACTATTTATTTTGAATCTTAGCAATTAGTGCTAGCATTAATGAAATGTCATTTCTTATCTGAAATAAAAGTTTTAAAACAACTCTCCACTTTGTGTTGTGTAAGGAGATCTATCCTTGGTGCATAAATATACATATATTTAATTTCTTGCACCCTTCTCCCTTTCATAAATATGTATACATTTGACTTCTGTAAGACTAAAGTATTCACATACATACTGAGGGAAAATAAACATCTTTTCATCATGAATTTGATTAGAGGGGCCTTCTTATAAGGGTCCATGGGACAGATAATCTCAATAAATGAAATAGCTTCACCTTTCCAGAACAGTTTGTTTTTATCTTATGGGTTGTATGAATTGTGAAACTGATTGTATTTTCCCTTTGCTATTAGAAAGCTGTTTTTGGTCTACCTTTGGCAAAGAAATTTAGATAACGTATTTTGAGTTAACAGCCTTACCACCTGTCTTTTACTTTTCCGTTCCCTGCTTATTTTTAATTCTGATGGTGCCACGTGCCTGGTGCCTCTTATTCTTTTTGGAGCTGGATAATGTAAAATAAAGAAAAATATTTACTAACCATGAGGGCCGATTCTCTTAAGAAGTTCCACTAGGAACTTTTGTTTTTAAAGCTATTCTATGGAAAAAAAAATAAAGCTATTTTATGGGTGCTTTATTGAAATTAAACAACACTTTTTGAACTTGAGTCCTTATAGCTCTGTAATCTACCTCACAGTCTTTTGGGAAAAAGGGCAAGACATAAGTAAATATAAATGTAAACATAAACATATCTGTATTTCCTTTGGTATAATTATAGTTTTAAAATTGTAATTCAACAATAACATTTTAATGAGGTCTTCTCTATTTTCCTTTCCAGTTATTTAAGGGCTCGATTTTAATAAAGAACAAACAAAACTTCAGACTTTTGTCACTTCTTGAAAAGTGGTTTGGATCACTTTAAATGCCATGACTATTTCTTCATCGCAATTGTCTGTTATATTATAAATGTATAGATATTTACACACCCAGACACACTCAAAATACCTGAGTTATGAATCATGTCAGATTTATATTGTGGCATGTTTTTGTATGTTTTGTATTTACAAAGAAATAAAAAATATAGACAGCATTATTGCAGTAGAAGATTGTCTATAAAAATGGAAATTAGGAAAACTAGGGTTGAATATGTGTTATATTACTCAGTTATGTCCAACTCTTTGCAACCCAAATGGACTGTAACCTGCCAGACTCCTCTGTTCATGGAATTATCCCAGCAAGAATGTTGGTAGGGCTTGCCATGTTCTTCTCCAGGGGATCTTCTTGATCTCTTCCAGGGATCTAATTCTCATCTCCTATGGCTCCTGCATTGGCAGGTGGAGTCTTTAGCACTCAGTGACCTGGGAAGCCATGTGTTACATGTGAACTGTAAATATAATTTAAATTAAAAATACATATTAAAATTTTAATCTATTATTGCTTTAATGCTATTCAAAGTGACAATGGCCTCTTAATGACAAATAATTGAGAGTGACTTTTGAGTTGTAATACAAAGTTACAATTTTTATTTGTTCTTTTTTCATAGGTTCGGATCATAAAGCTGTAGCTCATTCTAAATCCTCTCCTGAGATTACTCTGAGATTTGAAAGTGGGCCTGGTGCTGTAATACACTCTTTGCTTGCAGAAAAGAATGGATTTCTGCAATGCCATATAGAAAACTTTAGCACTGAGTTTCTTGTGTCTTCTCTTATGAATATTCAACATTTTTTGGAAGATGAAACAGTTGCAACAGTGATGCCAATGAAAATACAAGTTTCTAACACAAAAATAAATTTAAAAGTATGTTAACAAATATTTTTATATTTTCATTTTATAAATGTTCATTTAACCTACTGGACTTCGATTCATGCCTAACAATATGAACTTGTTGGTCCTTGTGGTGATGGTGTAGAGATTCTTCTTAGAAATTAGAAAATATCAAAATAGAATGAGCAGTTTTCTCACTGTATCAACTAAAGCATATTAAAGATGTATTTATAACTCATTAAAAATATTTTTGGCAGAAATAGTATTTAAGAAAATGATTAATTGAAAATGATTGATTTTATCTTTTACTTCAATAGCAACATGCCAATACTATTTCTCTTTCCCGTAGGATGACAGTCCTCGTAGTAGTACAATATCCCTTGAACCAGCTCCTGTGACTGTTCATATTGATCATCTTGTGGTAGAGAGAAATGATGATGGCTCTTTTCATATCAGAGGTATATACAAAAACAGTTTAAGTGAACACCTACTGAAATTTGAAATTATTTACATGCTGATTATTTTTTGAGCTCATACTTTTTATATACTATTTTATATTTATGTACATATGTAGCAGTAGATGATTGAGGGACCTTTAGTACCTTGTGATAAAATATCATCCATGTATGAACCTCTACCTCAGAAATAACAATCTACAATTGATTTAGTATCTATTCTACAAATGTGTTTTGAATGAAATCCTTCCTGGGTTAATTCACGCTTCTACTTTTCAGTGAACCCTTCCACATAACCTAATGTGACTTCTTAAAATTCTTGAGTACTGATTTGCCATACATTAGTTACTTTATAGTATATTGCTGTGTATTTAGTTCTGCTTAACTTTTGTATCTCCATCCTAATAGGATTTTGGGTCTCTAATGTCAGGACCATGTCTTATAACGTAGTGTGGAAAGAGCTTGAGTTGGTAGACTTAGGTGTTCTAAGTTTCACTTTATTAATTGAGGGTGAAATGTGAGGGACTGAAAAATGGCAAACTAGAAAACTCTGTAGCCAGAAACCATGAGAGAACTATTGCTGAGGTGGAATCAGTTTGTGGGCAACTCTTGATTGAAGAGTCTTCCTCTCTAGAGTTGGGGAACAGCTACAGCAAGTATAGAAGTCAGACCAAAAAAGATCAAAATGGCAGCGTCATTACTGATAAAAGCTCAGGCAAAGATAGCTTCGGTGTGAGAAGATAGGCTTGCTGTATGGCTGTTGGTCCCAGATACTTTAAGATCTCCAAACTTCAAGTCTTATCTTGTAAGAAAGCAGAACAAGGTGTTTTAGTACTTCAGAGTACTGAAGAAAAGTTGAGACTTTTAAAGAAATATAATTAATATTCTCAGAGAGATGATAGGATTTTGAACTCAAAATAGGAACAAGCTTTTATGGAAATAACTACTTAGAAATCATTAAAAATTAAAAACCTCATCTTTGAAGTAAAAAATAATAGGTCACCTAAAATCTTATCAGCTCTACCTTCAAGAGATACCCAGAGTCAGATCTGAGTCATACGGTATATTGCCTTCTCAGATTGGCTTCTTTTACTAAGTAATATGATTTAAGGTTTCTCCATGTCTTTTTGAGGCTCACTAGCTCATTTCCTCTTACTGCTGAATAATATTCCATTGTCTGATGTAGCACAATTTATTTCACCTACTGTAGGACATCTTGGTTGCTTCCTTATTTTGGCAGTCAGAATAAAATTGCTGTAAAGGATTGTGTGGACATAAGTTTTCAGCACCTTATGGCTAAATACAAAGGAGTGTGACTGGTGGGTCTTACGGTCAAGAGTATGTTTAGTTTTGGAAGAAAGTGACTGTACCATTTTACATTCTCACCAGCAGTAAATGAGAATTCTTGTTGCTCTGTGTCTGTGTTTACATTTGGTGTTGTCAATGTTCTGTATTTTGGCCATTCTAAATAGGTGTGTAGTGGTATGCTGTTGTTTTAATTTGCATTTCCTGATGACAGATTATGTACAGCATCTTTTCATATGCTGATTTGCCATCTGTTTATTTTCTTTTGTGAGGTGCCTATTAAAGTCATTGACCTCAGAGAGAAATTTTATATTGATAAAAGATCTCCCAAAATGTAGCGTAGTCATAAGAAATGTATATATCCATGTAACAGCATAACTGAAAATGTATAAAAGAAAGCTGTTTGAAATAAAGAGAAATGGAATCATAGCATATCGAGATCCTACTGTCATAGAGAAACTTTAACATACCTCTCTCTCTCTCTCTTTCTGTGTGTGTAAGATGTCATGGAAAAATCTGAATGAACTTTTTAGTCAACCCAATATCTATATACACACACATATATATATATGTAAATAGAAATTTGAATTTAGCAAACAGGTAATTTCAGATACCCATCAATAAATTTTGCTATCTGCAGCCACATGGATGGACTTGGAGAATATTAAGCTTAGTGAAGTAAGTCAGAGAAAAAAAGAAATACTATCTGATTTAACTTACATGTGGAACCTAATGGTACTACAAGTGAGTGGATGTGCAGAACAGAAACAGAGTCACAGTTAGCGCTCCCTTTTTATCTCCAGTCACATCTGCCTCCCTCTCCTTTTCTCCCCTTGCTCGTTCTTTCTTCTCCACTCTCTAAATCTCTCCTCCCCTTTTCTCCATCTCATTGTTTTTCCTCTTTCCATATTTCTTCGTCTTCTCTTCTTTCTCTCCCCTCCCCTTTTCTCTCCTCATTTCACCTCCCAATGCTTGAAATAAAATGGATTTCAGAGTTGTTCTGGTCAGTGGTTTTTCATTACTCTTAGGATCCCGTGAGTGGTGAGACACATAAGCTAAATAGAATGGGCTCTGGACCCTGTTTTCTTGTTACAGTCTATGTAACAGCTTTTTTGTATGTTTTGTTTTTACTTTATATTAGCATTCTATATCACATTTCATTTAAAAGAAGGGTCTTGCTCTTCTAAGTTTGAAAGCCCAAAGTATATGATAAACAGTCACATTTTAGGGCTGTTACTAGTTTTCTGAGTTTGAAAAAGTAGAGGATTTGACTTTTCCATGGCGTAGTACTTTAGGACTTCCCTTACAGTCCCTACCAAGCTGAATGGTATGCTAGTCTGACCCAGTATAACAGTTCTTGTATATTTTTTCTAACTAATATTACTAAAAACATAATCAGTACAGGACAATATTGTAACAAGTAGTTTCTGATTTGAGACTTCTGTAATATGAATGCAAGAACAGACCAAAACTCAATTCAGTGACATTTACCCATGTAGATAAAACTATTTTGATACATAAAAAATTGGGGTAAAATTATTAGAATCATAATGAAAGGTAATTTGGCAATATGAACAAAAGCTTTAAAAAGTATTTTTGTTCTTTGACCTAGCTGACACCTTCTGGGAATGTTTTTAAGGGGAAAAATTATGTTGAACAGATATTACTCTGCTGTCTTCTTAATATAATTTGGTTTGATGAACTACCTCTCTGTCATGACAGTTAAGTGTGGTTTTTGTTGAACCTATCATATGACCCTATCACTAAAGTGGGGAAGGGACCCAGGTGGGCCAGTCAGAAGATTTCAGCCCTTGGGACACTGAACGATAACATGAATGGACTGTGAACTAAGCATTCTGAGTCTTCTGTGTGTGAATTGAAAATGACACTGAGCGCGAAGGGGTCGCAGGTGTAAAACTTGCTTGTTTGGTCACCAGAGGTTACCTTTGCCATCATATGACGGGACTAACGCAGAAGAAGAAGGGGATCTGAGAAGTAGATAGAGTCAGGGTACTAAAATGGCACTCCTGGGGACATCAGATGAATTCCAGTGTCTGTCCATACCTGCAGCACCGTCACTTTGACTCTGCTATTATGGAAACAAATACATTTCCTTGTTTAAAAACAAGTTTGATTTGGGCTTCTGTTCACTTGCAGCCTAAATGCTCTGACTCTCTGTGATCCAAAAAGTTAGAAAAAAATGTTGATTTGTAAAAATATTTCGTCTTTTGGATAAAATTTTAAATGGAACTGTTTTCTTAATTTAATTTTGAATTATTCATTGCAAGTGCTTAGAAAAACAATTGATTTTTATATATTGATCATATATCCTGCAGATTTGCTAAGCTTGTTCTTTAGCTCTGTGAGTTTTTAGTGGAGTCTCAATTTTTTTTTTTCCTATGTACAAGATCATGTCATCTGTGAATGGAGATAGTTTTACTTCTTCCTTGCTAACCTGGATGCCTTTTATTTCCTTTTCTTGCCTAATTACCTTGCCTGGGACCTCTGGGACAGTGTCGAGTAAAAGTATTGAGAGCAAACGTCCTTGTCTTATTCTCAATATTAGGGGAAAAACATCCGGTCTTTTACCATTAAGTGTGATATTAGCTGTGGAATTTTTGAAAATTTCCTTTAACAGATTGAGGAACTTCTATTCCTGGTTTGCTCTTTTTATCATGAGAAAGTACTGGATTTTGTCAAATATTTTTTTTCTGCATCTATTGAAATGACCATGTGGCTTTTGTTTTATTCTGTTTTGTTGATGTGATATACTACATTAATTTATTTCTTGAATGTTAAATCAATCTTGCACTTCTGGGGTAAATCTCACCTGGCCATGACCTATAATTATTTTTATTATATTGCTGGGTTCAGTTTGCTAATGTTTATTGAGGGGTTTTCTATTCATTTGTATAAATGTATTGATTTTAGTTTACTTTTTTATGATTTCTTTGGTTTTGGAATCAGGGTAATACTGGTTTTATAGAGTGAGTTAAAAAATGCTTCTCTTCTATTTTTTGGAAGAGTTTGTAAAGATTTGGTATTAATTCTTTTAATGTTTGATAGAATTCACTGTTGAAGCCATATCTGGGCCTGGGCTTTTCTGCAAATAGTTTTTGTTTTGTTTTTGATTACTGATTTAGTCTGTTTCTTATTGAGTCTGTTTGGGTAGTTTGTGTCTTTGTAGAAGTTTTTCTACCTCATCTAAGTTATCTAATTTGTTGGTATATAATTCTTCACAGTATTCCTATATAATTATTTTTATTTCTGTGAAAGGGACAATAGTAATGTCCCTTCTTTCATTTCTGATTCTAGTAATTTTTTTCTTTTTTATATCTTTTATTTCTTGGTCTATATAACTAAGGTTTTTTTCAATTTTATTATTCTTTTCAACAGATGAGCTTTTGATTTGGGGTTTGTTAATCTCTCCCATGAATGAGCTTTTTCTTTATTTGACTTCATTGTTTTTTGTTTCAAAATAATGTCTTCATACTATGACATACTCATTTTAAATAAGGTTTTCACAAGAGAACTTAAGATTTATCAAGTATTTAGAAATGTTATCTGAATATTTTATTTGTCTGGTTAGATTCTCAGATGCTTAACACTAGAAATGATTTGAAAGAAAGTGTCAAAAGTGATTCCATGCTGCTCACCAGTGGAGAATGCGATCTGAAGAAACACCACAGGGTCACTCAAGCCACTCAGACGAACCCAGGAGCTCCTTGGCCTTCGCAGTCAGCCAGCTTTCCTGAGCGCTGCTTCGACTTTACTAGGGAACAGGTAATGGGAGACCCAGTTCATACTCACTTCAGCAATTAACATAATTATTAGGCATTATTTATTTACTTGTTTAAGTCAAGTTTGTTGAGTGCTTGTTATGTACTAGGCAGTTAGTTGATATAGTGTCGAGCAAGGTGTGGCCATTCCCAGCCTTCACAGAAGTTGTCTAATAGGAGATAAAGGAGGGAATGTGGGAGAGTGCCATTTCTGGCATCTGCGAAGGCTAACTGGAGGATATGTACATCTTGATGTCTTATTTTTAAGTTACAAAAGTATTGTAATATTTCAGAACTTTGGAAAAATATTTTAAAACAGCTCTGACAGATTGTAACTTCCTATAGTGCTATAAGTATTTTTAAAAATTTTTCCTCTCAGTCTCTTTCCGTAATGTTTCTAAACAGTTGATATCCTAGTATATGTACTGTGGGGCTTCCCTGGTGCTCAGACGGTAGAGAATCTGCATGCGGTGGGGAGACCCAGGTTTTATCCCTGGGTCGGGAAGATCCCCTGGAGAAGGAAAGAGCAACCCACTGCAGTATTCTTGCCTGGAGAGCTCCGTGGATAGAGGAGCCTGGCGGGCTACAGTCCATGGGCTCGCAGAGTCTGCTACGACTGATGGACTAACACTTTCACACTTATTTATACTGTACTTTTTGCTTAACGTTGTTTAACGAATGTTTTCCATATTGCTGCGTATGCTTCATCTATTTTATTTTATATTTATTGAAGTATAGTCACTGCTTCATATTTATTGTTAATGGCAGATTAATATGGGTGTGGCTATATTATCATTTCTAAAGGTTACTCTTAACATTTGTTAATATTTGAGCTGCTTCTTATTTTTTGCTGTTATATAATTCTATCCAGCAGAATTTTAATTCTCAATGATGAAACTACAGAAACAGTTTATTCATCTATTTAGCAGGATTTGTTAGATGTCAGCTTTAAGCTAAGGATATAGAATTGGAAGAGAATACCACTCCCTATCTATTGAGGAACTCAAAATTGAATGGGAAAGTAGAAGTGTGTAAACAGTAGTCACAGCATACATGTGTTATATGTACTAGAGTTTAGGGAAGTATGGTAAAATTTGGTCTGTGAGACAGGCATTCTTAAGCTGCAGCTAAAAGAAATCTGAGAACTCTTTGAAGTTTAATGCATATATTTTAATGTATCTGTGTGAATACTTTTTCCTGTGGAGAAGGTTTTATCACATTTTCCTGATTAGGGATTAGGGAATGGTTCTAAGAGGATTGAACTGAGTCTTAATGAGAGAAGATCTATTGACATCTAGATGAAAATGTCCAGTGAGATCTTCAGAATGTGGGTCTGGAGCTCAAGAGAGGCTTGCCCTATATCAGACTATACATGATTGTTGGAGCCGCAGGAGTAGAAGAGAACATCTGAGAGAGTGACTCAAGTGATAAGAGAAGACAGCCAATTATGGATTTTAATAGAATGCAAAAAATTTAAGAGTTCTTAAGCATCAGAGGGAAAGATGAAAAGTTCATACGTAGAGCGGGGTAAACAAGAAATTTCTGTGACATAAAAGGTGAAAGAGGAGAGAGGCTTAGCAAGGAGGAGTGAGGTCAGCAGCATCTTAAGGGAAATTGAAATTAAACAAAATCACTATTAGATTTGGAACTTAGGAGTTAATTCGTGTTTTAAATTGCTGGGTCGAAACTTATGGACATTGTGAGTGCTTGGTTTGTGTTTCCTAATAACTTCTCAGAGCAATTTTCAGCTTAAGCGCACCCTCACCAGCATTGGATAATGTTGCTGACTTGTGGGTCACACTTTTAGATACTGTATAAATAGTCTGTATTTCCTAAAAATGGTTATATTTTCTTATTTTCCAAATTTATCATTTCAGCTCATGGAAGAGAATGAATCACTTAAACAAGAATTGGCTAAAGCTAAAACGGCTCTTGCAGAAGCTCACTTAGAAAAAGATGCTCTTCTCCATCAGTTGAATATCAGGAGTGGCAGCCAGAAACTCAAGTTATAGCTTTGGAGTGTGGAGGTTATATTTATAATGTGATGTTACCAATTAATGGGAAACTTTCCTTTTCATAAAAAGACAATAAAATGAAATAGAATGTGATGAAGTGGTGACTATTCCAAAACCAGTTTAGAAAATACTAGGTACGGGCATTACAATCTTTTGGTTGTTTTGTGTTTTAGGGTTTAATCCTCTTTTAAACTGGTGTGATATAGGGGAAGTCAGTGCTTACTGTTAAGATAATTCTATGCCTCATGAACAGAAGATGTCATTTCCTAATTTTGATATTACATTATAGACATTTTTTAAAAAGAAAAATGAAAATCTATTGTGTTCTCACAGATTGCTGAATTTATTTATCACTTTGTGAATAATTTGCTAATATTTACAGAGATTCAGATGCTTTTAGGGCTAATGTAAAATAAAAGGAGGTGTACATTTTAAGTATTACTAAAATTATGTACTTAAATCTATAACTGTTACTGTAAAAAAAATCCAATCAAATTAATAAATTATCTAATTGCTGAGTTTGAAAATTCTGGAAAATCATCACCCTAGGGAACACAGGCGGTAACTTTAAAATGTGAAAAAGAATCATTTTAAGTGATGGGTAAGCTGTATAAGTTGAAGCTATAGTTTTCAACAAAGATGGCACAAATGTTAAAATAAAAAGCACAAACTGTGAAAAAGCAAAGCATTAGCGTATATGGCCAACTGATTTAAAAAGCATTACTTGTACATTCCTTTAAACATGTATTGTTAGAAGTCAAAGAGTAATTTAACTATCCTGCTAAATTTGGCAGCATTTGTAACTATAAGAATTTTAATTAATACTATTTATATTATTTCTTTATCTTCATGTTTCCTCTATTTAAGGAGGGGAATGTTTTCAGAGAATTTTCTTTTCACATACATAAAATGATTTCATACCGTTCCTACAGCATCTTAACAGGTGGTTGTTTGCAGACGTCAAATTTATAATGCTAGTTTTGACTAACGTTCTGTGTGACTTATATATTGAAATAAGAATAACTGGTAATTTTGAATTCTATTTTCCAGGGATTGTTAAGGTTGAAACCAACATGAGAGAGTCTCAATCATGCATTATGAAAAAAAGTTTATGAGTATTTAAGAAACAGAGGCTTTTAACAATTTAAAATATATTTCTGGTAGAATTAAACTAAGTGGGGTCTATTTTAAAATTCACATTCTTAAACATAAATATATTCAAGATAGAACTGAAACAGCTGTACTGCTCTTTATTTAAGTTACTTGAAAATGTTCAAATTTTCAACCACATTAGGATACTTTATGGTGCTTTGCTTGTTTGGCATGACTTATATAGCCATCCTGTATCTAAATACTTGGAAATATGTTTCATTTTATGTTAAGTGAGAGTGATTTTAGATTTTATTGAAAATGGTACTGGCTTTTTTTTTTTGTCTTTAATGTCCATTTTCTTTAACATTGTTTAAAAATACAGGCCATGCTTTGGGAGCTAAGGATATAGCAAAGAAAAAGTTAAATTTTTATTATTTTACCTCAGAGTATTTTAGAAATCATGTTAAACCATTTTAATCTAAGACTGTTGTATAGTTTTAGGTTAAAAGCAAAGGTCTAATTAAATATTTTGAATGTATGGCTTATATCCTTAGTAGAGTACTTTTGATCTATAGGTATATATTCAACAAAAGCAGTCTCTATTATAGAAAAGCAGGATTGATGGTACATGAACTTCTCTAGAACTTGCAATGTTTTTCAGATTTGACATATTTGCTCCATATGAACTTTAAATTTATGATGTATTATAATTACTTACTGTTATAGATCCTGGATGTTTTTCTTATTTTCAATTTATTTGGCCATCTCAAGAAAATCATATAAACAGTAGAGATAATAATTAATATGAAGCTGAATATTCTATATGCTTTGTTAGATTTTTAAAAATTTATAGTGATTACTATTTTTATAGAGATTTAAAATTCATAAATCATTTCCAAAAACATTGTATAATTCCCACAACAAGCCTGGGAGGTAGGTGTTATTTACATTTTAAAAGTTTAATAAAGATCTTATGGCTCAGAAAGAACAAATGACTTGACTGAAATCACAATTAATAACCTGCTCTTTTCACTGAAATCCCAATTATATGTTTTTATTTTACCTTATTCCTTATTTCACATATTTCTCCAGAGGTAGGGAAAGGAATCACTTATTGGTCGTTTATCTTTTTAAGATGAGTATAATGCTTTGAAAAGATGTGTGTGTATATAAAAACTACTTGAAAAATAAGGGGAGAATTTTGTTTAAGTTAGTCTCAATCTTTTTTGCTGTATGAGAAATATAAGAATCAACCTGTAATAAACTTATCAGAGTTTTTAAATGACCATAAATTAAAATTAAAGTTGCCTTGTCTTTGCTAAATCCCTAGCAGAGATGTTAGTAATCAGGGGAAGAAAATTATATTAGTGTTTTTCTTTTAAATTTCATATATACAAAAAACATATTCTTGGTATTGTATTTTTATCTTTTCTCATTATAGAGTTCAAAAGATCACCATGTGACACTAGTTGTAATGAAACATTATTTAAGCCATGTAAGAATAGCTTTATATGATTGCAGGCAAATATATGTGACAAAATTAATCAGAAACTTCTTTTGGGTTTTTGTTGTAGTTATTTTTATTCAGTACTTGTCAATACAAGGGTTAAATATTTCTCTTTAAGTTTTTATTAATGTATCCAATCTAAGGTTCCACCATCACAGTGGTTCCCAAGTTAGTAACCTAGAACTTCCTCTCTCTAACCAGCCCCCCCAATCAATTCATTACCACATCCTTTCATTTTACCTAGTAAATTTGTCTACTTCTCTTCATTTACCACCTTTCTAATCTAAGCTAACATTAGTACTCTTTGCCTGTAGTTACTTCGGTAGCCTCCTAATTGGTCTTCCTAAGTTACTCTGACCTTTCTGATTCATTTTTATACTGCAGGCAGAGTTCTCTCTCTCTCTTTTTTTAAGTGCAGTTTTAATCAAGGTAACCCACCTAACCCTAGATGGAAACAAAAATATTTTATGTTACCTATGAGATCAGTTACTAGGGCTGCTGTTTATAATTCTGAACATTGAAAGAGTTAGTATCTCAAAAACATTAAAGAAGTGACTGGCACATCACCTTGAAAGCATTTAAGAGAGGTTAGTTATTACTACTTCTTAGGTTCATTGAGCTCCTTGTTTCACTTACTTTGTATTTGACTCTTATTGCACTTTAAATATCTGAAATTAGAATTAAAGCGCTTCTTCCACCAAAGGAACCTTTGTTCATGCTCTTCTCTTGCTTGAAATACCTTCATCACTTAGTTAACTCCTATTTGTCTTTCAGATCTCAGCTCATTCATCACTTCCTCAGGGAAGCATTCCCTAATTTTTTTCAGAGTAAGAAAAAAATTGCATTATCATGTGACCTCTACTTAATGTTGAACACCTTTGTAACTTTATATGCATTTGTTTGGTTGATGTAGACGCTCTAGACTGTAAACTCCATGCAGACAGGAATTGTGTGTTTGTGTCGTTGTTCAACTTTGTATTCTTTGTCCCTCATGCAGTGCCCTGCACGTAGTAGTTCTCAATAAACTTGTTGAAATAATAAAATAATGGATGAGGTATCGAGGATGTTTTTCAGGTATTGAGTTCTTCCTCTCAGTTGGATTGAGGGGAGAGGAAACATTAGACATAAGAGTAGGAGGTGGTAGTTATTAAAAGTGGCAGACTCCTTGTGTCCATAGAGAAGAAAAAAGATGGAGAATGGAGAAATTTGCTCTTTTACGCTCTTCTGAGTTTTGAGTATCTGAAATTCTACTTAATTTATCACAAATCATCACAGAACTGAAAATTAGCACATCACTTCATACAACTGCCAGTGCCAGGATGTCATGTGGCTTTGATTGTAGCATATGGTGTTGTGGCTGTTGAGATCTGCCGGTCCTGTTAGCTAAACAGAATGGAAGTAAGGCCAAAAGAGTTCCTTTTAGGATAAAATATGATAAGTTGGAATCATACAGGATGGATAGAAATACTAAAGCAGTAGTGTTTTTAAAACACCAATTTCATTAAATTATGATAAATTTAAAAAATTTAAAAAAATTTTGCTGCTTTTTTGAGAAGTACACAAATTAAGGTAATATGAAGCAAAAATGTATGTGTGGTGGTTTTTAGAAAGCATTAGATATTATCCAATGGATCATTGTACAGTGGAGGGAAATTCATGTTGTTACAGTATTAAAATTCGGCATAAGTGTTGCCAACACTCCTGTGTAGTTTTGGTAGGTCTGAGAATTTGAAACTCTTTTAGGAGAATAATTCTAAGAAATATTAATATGAAATCAACTAAATGTCTTTTTTTTTCCATTTGTATAATGTGACAGTTTTTTGGTCTTAGAAGAAAAAGTATCACTGAGTCAGCAAGAGGAGTAATAGGTTTTAAAAGATTTTGAAACCATTTAAAAAGATGATACTAAATAACTTATACATTAGATTTTTTTTTTCATTTTATTCAATGGTAAGTAAAATTTCTCATTCTTGACTTTAATTCTTCACTTTTATGTGAAGACATATTTGATGGTTTAGGTGAAGGAATATACTTGAGCATTTTGGAGGTTAGGATTATACAGTGCGGTGATTAACCTTCTTTCAGCCACTTAGAATTGTTTTATTGATGTAACAAAAAACTCAAGATACTGAATCACAACTATCAAGACTTAAGAATTGCAAAAATAAGGAATAAGTACAGATCAAAATTACCCTTGAAGGGTATAGGTGAAATAAATGCATTAGGGATCTGATCAAAGTCAAATTTCTTTTCACAATACTTAAAATAACTCCAGTTAAAATATACATAGTATAGTCAGGGCAGAAGTTTAAAAAGTAACCATAGGGAGCAAATGCAGTGTCGGGAAATAATGTTGGTGGCCCTTACCGAAGCTGCAGCTGCTTCCATATAGCTGCTG